TGTTCACTAGTATTGTTCACAAATATTCACTAGTATTGTTCACAAATGTTCACTAATGTTCACAAATGTTCAAAAATGTTCACTAGTATTGTTCACAAATGTTCACTGATGTTCACAAATGTTCACTAGTATTGTTCACAAATGTTCACTGATGTTCACAAATGTTCACAAATGTTCACTAGTATTGTTCACAAATGTTCACTGATGTTCACAAATGTTCACCAGTATTGTTCACAAATGTTCACTGATGTTCACAAATGTTCACTAGTATTGTTCACAAATGTTCACTGATGTTCACAAATGTTCACTAGTATTGTTCACAAATGTTCACTGATGTTCACAAATGTTACCAGTATTGTTCACAAATGTTCACTGATGTTCACAAATGTTCACTAGTATTGTTCACAAATGTTCACTGATGTTCACTAGTATTGTTCACAAATGTTCACTGATGTTCACAAATGTTCACAAATGTTCACTAGTATTGTTCACAAATGTTCACTGATGTTCACAAATGTTCACCAGTATTGTTCACAAATGTTCACTGATGTTCACAAATGTTCACTAGTATTGTTCACAAATGTTCACTGATGTTCACAAATGTTCACTAGTATTGTTCACTGATGTTCACAAATGTTCACTAGTATTGTTCACAAATGTTCACTAGTATTGTTCACTGATGTTCACTAGTATTGTTCACAAATGTTCACTAGTATTGTTCACAAATGTTCACTAGTATTGTTCACTAATGTTCACAAATGTTCACTGATGTTCACAAATGTTCACTGATGTTCACAAATGTTCACTGATGTTCACAAATCCCCCTCCTCCTCCTCCTCATTCCCTCCTAATCCTCCTCCTCATTCCATCCTCCTCATTCCCTCCTCCTCATCCCCTCCTCCTCCTCCTCCTCATTTCCTGTGAACATTTGTGAACATCAGTGAACATTTGTGAACAATACTAGTGAACATCAGTGAACAATACTAGTGAACATTTGTGAACAATACTAGTGAACATTTGTGAACATCAGTGAACAATACTAGTGAACATTTGTGAACATCAGTGAACATTTGTGAACAATACTAGTGAACATTTGTGAACATCAGTGAACATTTGTGAACAATACTGGTGAACATTTGTGAACATCAGTGAACATTTGTGAACAATACTAGTGAACATTTGTGAACATTTGTGAACATCAGTGAACATTTGTGAACAATACTAGTGAACATTTGTGAACATCAGTGAACATTTGTGAACAATACTAGTGAACATTTGTGAACATCAGTGAACATTTGTGAACAATACTGGTAACATTTGTGAACATCAGTGAACATTTGTGAACAATACTAGTGAACATTTGTGAACATCAGTGAACATTTGTGAACAATACTAGTGAACATTTGTGAACATCAGTGAACATTTGTGAACAATACTGGTGAACATTTGTGAACATCAGTGAACATTTGTGAACAATACTAGTGAACATTTGTGAACATTTGTGAACATCAGTGAACATTTGTGAACAATACTAGTGAACATTTGTGAACATCAGTGAACATTTGTGAACAATACTAGTGAACATTTTTGAACATTTGTGAACATTAGTGAACATTTGTGAACAATACTAGTGAATATTTGTGAACAATACTAGTGAACATTTTTGAACATTTGTGAACATCAGTGAACATTTGTAAAACTAATGCTAAATAATGCTAACATATGCTAATGATGTAATGCTAACAGATGCTAACATATGCTAATGGTAATGCTAACAGATGCTAACATATGCTAATGGTAATGCTAACAGATACTAATGATAATGCTAACAGATGCTAACATATGCTAATGATAATGCTAACAGATGCTAATGAGGTAATGCTAACTAATGCTCATACATATTCAAACCATTTGTAAATGACTGTAAATAGCAACAACATTTGAAACTTTAGTTATTTATTTTTATTCATATCGTTCAGTATTATATACAAATAACTTTAATCGTCCATCCTTGCTGGGATACCAGGTGGTTTGTATAAGAATGTCCGTTTCTTTCTTGTATTCGAAGTGTTTTGTTTTTTCTGTTTAAATGGATGTTTCTTCTTTATATTTACAGAGTTTTGTTGTTTCTCTTTAGATGGTCTATACTCTTCATGTTTCATATCTTCTTGTTGACGTTTCAATTGTGCCTTTGCTCTGTCGACAACTGCAGTCATGGGTGATATGATTAATACCGGTTTAGTATCTTCTTTAATGTCATCTATGCCTATCCACCCTCTTCCTGTTTGAGATACTTTCAATCTATTCTGTCTACCAGCTCTAATAAGTTTCAACCAGTGTTCTGGGTTGTCTACATATGGTACTAGTTTCATGGTTTTTAGTTGATGTGTATATATCAAGTATAAGGATTGAAATGATAAAGATTTGAATATTTCACTCAATATATATTGTCAAGTGGCATCAATATCATCTTCTTATCAACATCTGATGTCGTGATATTCTTAGAAACTGATGTCGTGAATTAATGTAGTTCTTGTTGTTATTGACCATTCCAGATTAGAAAGTTGAAAGATTATTTATATTCTTAACATACATTCAATAGATTTTTCTGTCAAACTTCTGGAACCTTCCAGATGAACAATACTTGTGAACATCAGTTAATATTTGTACATGATAATTAAAGTATTCGACCATGTCACAATACTAAATTCTCTCAATTTCTACTAAATTATTTACCCTCAATTTCATTGAAATTATTTACATAAAATACAATTCGCTCAATTTCTACGAAATTATTTACATAAAATACAATTCATATATAACAACTAATCAAAGAAATTGGAACATATATGATCCTACTGCATTTAGATGTTGTGTTATTGAATATCATGTACAGAATATTTAGGACTTACCTTAAACATGCATACAGATATGTCTAAATCACCAGTTGTTTACTACCATGTTCATAAATGGTCCACACACTTTTTGGAGATTTTTATATGGTAAAAATGATGTCAAATTCTATTTTAGGGCATGATGTCATGTATTTTTTAAGAAACTTAGGTCATAAAATGATGATGTCATATACTCTAGATCATTCTAGAAAAAAGGATTAACACATTAAACAAAAGATGTTCTAGAATATGAAGGATTAACATTGTGATGACACAGTTAAATGTCAACATTCAATTATTACATTAAAAGACCATTATTGTTGAAATCAAGTAGAGTAAGATCAAATGGTCAATTCAATATAGAACTTAAATAAATAAACCTTTTCAACGGTCAATTCAATATAGGACTTAAATAAATAAACCTTTTCATCTGTACTCATATTTAATCCAAAATCCAGTTCTCTTTCCTTTTATGCCAACAGTATTTGTTTGACCAGCTCAATAGGATTATTGATTCTTTTCAATGTTGGGTTAATATTGAAAGTAGAATTGTAAACACTGTTAATGGATTATACCAAATTTAAAATAATATTAAAGGGATTTATTTTGTACTTTACTATTCAGTCCAAGAAATACATTTCTCACCCATTTAAGATAACAATGATGTCATGCGCATCTTATCTCTCACCCATTTAAGATAACAATGATGTCATGCGTATCTTATCTCTCACCCATTTAAGATGAAAGCCCCATCCAATTAATTTATCTCCTAATCCCCATTCAATTAATTTATCTCCTGCTCATCAATATCTCCTGCTCATCTTCAGAGATTTTGAAAGCCCCGGGCCCGTGGCGGCCCGTGGCGGCCTGATGCCCTCAGTTTTCTATCTACTGTCAATGAAAGATGGCAAAGGTATTTGTATTTCATGATTCATTCATTTGTGATAGAAGTGTCACCATCTTTTCAATCAAGAGTTATTTCAAAGCTTGTACCCTGTGCAAGCACTTCAAACGATCTCTGAACTTCAAATGCTGTTTTCTACGCAAATCTTTTTTTACTTCAATGTCAATGCAAATCAAGCTTTGTATCATATTTGATTGGTTGTTTGAGTAACATGTTTCAATTATTATTTGATCCTTTTTTCTTCTAAACTGCATTATTGCTGATACTGCCCCTTTAAATTTTATAAAATCTAAGACTTTATATTATAAAACCTCCTCTGACCCTTGCTCTTCATTATTTATACTGAGATGACCACTTTTAGCCAGATATAGCTTTATTCTTACCACTTACAGCTACTTTATATTTTACAAAAATTGATTGCATTTTGAAATTGAAAATAGAGCCTACAGTACATGAGTGTAATTTATCTTTTAGTTTTTATTTCAATTAAGCGTTAGCATACATTATTTGTGTAGCATTTAAGCTGAATTAAAACCGAACAAATATTTTCAGAAAGTATTAAAATCAGCTCGTCCACAAGCAGCCAAAGCTGTCTTCCTAATAACAGATGGCTATTCCAATGCAGGAGACCCTAGACCTGAAGCCAAACTTTTACGTGACAAGGGAATTAAAATTTTCACATTTGGGATTAGAAACGGTAATGTTGCAGAGCTGAGAGACATGGCATCAAAGCCAACAAATGAACATTGTTATATCTTGGACAGTTTTGAGGAATTTGAGGCACTGGCAAGAAGAGCTTTACATGAAGGTGAAATATTTCTATCTTTTGTTATATCAATGTAATAAATAAATACACTATACATGTTTATAATATAATCATCAAATTATCTATTATCAAAATACTTCTTTCAGTCATGGTCAAATGCAAAATCATAAAGAACCATCATTGAACATTTTTATTATGAAAATTATTATTATGTCTAGTATACAACACAGGCTTCGAAAAAAATGAAAGAAAGAACTCAAAAGAATTTTACAAGATTCCAACATTTAATAATGACCCTCTTCTGAATTTCAGATCTGCACACAGGCAGTTATATAATACAGAACAAGTCTAAATGTGACAGTCTATGTCCCCCAGGGGCAGATTGTTGCGATGAACATGCAATGTGTAGATGTGGCACACATACAGGCCAATACGAGTGCTTCTGCATGGAGGGTTTCTATGGGGATGGCCTAGCAGGAGGCTGCAAAGGTACCTAATATTTTACAGTTTCTATCTTGAAAAGCTGCAATACATGTGTATTCCTTGATATTTCAAGTTCACATGTTTTTTAGGTACAGAAAAATAACCCAGTCAGCCAGTGGCATGCAATTGATCTCCATATCAAAATCATTTTTTGGGAATTATTTGTTGATTAAGTTCTGAAGTTTGTGTTATCTAAACAATCTGGTAATTTTGAGGTGCAGCAATATAATTAAACATCCAATTTCAGAGTGTCCATCAGGCACCTACAAGAACTACACAGGACAAGGTCTGGATGGCAACTGCACAGCGTGTCCAGATGTGAACCATGTGTCATCACTGGGAAGTGTCTCAATACATAGCTGTATATGTAAGAGAGGATACATTGCTGATGGTGAGCTGACCTGCACAGGTAAGCAATTTCACATATCTAGGCATACATTGTCACTTTTGACCAATCAAATTGCAGTATAACCATGCATGGCGGCATCATATGCATGGTTCAAAATTAAATGCAAGCTTTTGAATATTTTTTTGTACATTTTGTTCACAAGTGGCAGCATCAACTAAATAAATGTATATACCATATTTAAATGTGTTATGGTACAAGCAAATCCTGTTTTAGTGAACAATTCTAAATCTACTTGAGCTTTCTAAACATGTTTAATAAATTATAAGGGAAAACCATCTGGGAAATTCAAATATTTCATAATCAAAATACCGAAAACTTCTGTTTTAAATTTTACTTTTTTTTAAACATATCTCAGAGAAGTCATGAAAAATCATATTTGAATAATTACAAATATTTTTGAAATCTACATGGAGCCTTTAACATTGTAAATACTGTACTCATTGGAAAATGTTAAATCTTTCTTCAATATCCAAACATTGTTAGACAATCTAGTTTTGTCATGGTACATGAGGCCCAATGATACAATAGATTGCAAATGTTCCTGCAAACTACAGCGAAACCTGTATATCTGAACACCTCTCTAATCCAAACACCTCTCAATGGGAACACTTTTTCACAGTCCCAAATTATTTCATTTTTGACTGACATGATAAATAAAACATTAAAATGTTAATATCTGATAATCTGAACACTTTTGACCAGTCCCAGAGGTGTTCTAATTAGACAGGTTTTAATGTACACACAATCTTTAAGGGTACACCTGTAATTGTTGATACTAAACTTTTATTCTTCTAAAATTAACACAAAATGCAAGATTTCAGCAACTCATTAAGATAATATTTATTATCTCTTATCTGTTAATGCTAAACAGATTGACATGTATTGCAATTCTATATAATACCTCACACACTAATGACCACAAATGCCGCACTTCGCAATAAAGAAATTGACATTAAGAATCTGTTTTAGATATCTAAATAGTTCAATATGCACATATGTGTTTTACAAATGATTACATAGGTATGTTCTGTAGTACATGTATCAGAGCATGCATTAAAGCAATAATACATTGTATTTGAAATAAATATGTGCAAATACATTTGAGGAGCTAAATGACTAAGTGAATTACTCAATCATCATAATATCTAATATTATTTGTGGTCTCTTTAATAAGTATATTTGTGGTCTCTTTATGTATGTATATTTGGTGTCCAAAAACTCCAAAAATTTTCTTATAACATGAGCCTACACAGAGAAAATTTGGTGCAAAGGATTAGAGTCCAATATTCAGTCTGATCCACCAGAAGTGGAAGATAATCTGAAGAGGATTACTACTAGATAGGCAATAAAACCTCTGTCTGCTAGTGCCCCAACACACAGTGATAAGGGACTGATCATTCTCCGCAAATTTTCACACCTCCTTCAAGTTCTTCTGGTATAAGGATATTGTTCTTGGTAACAACAGTAGCAGTTCGAAGTTGCATTTTCTTATGATTTTAACGTGCATTGTTATACAGCATGTCACTATGGTCAAACTTGAGCCTGAAAATACACAAAGGGAAACACATGAAAAATGAAAATCAAAATTCAGAATTATTTCACTTTTATCTGAGTTCAAAATAACAGGTCCATTTTAATTTCACACCCTTGTCTTTATGTGTGCTCACTCCAGAGCTCTCCACTCTGACCACAGTTTGTCAGTTACATTGATTAGACACACTGCACTGTTAACTGACACTACCTCCACAAATAATCTACAAAATGCAGGAAATACTTCTGACCAGCAAGATCAACTAATAAAACCATGGATGACCACTGATACTAAAATATGGGAAAAAGGATATAACACTTTGTTGAATAAAATGGATAGTTAACATAAACAATTAACAAAAAATGGTCTCGATAAAAATGAACCAATTCATAAAATTTCTTGAATTACTTATAATTGTAACGCTATCGCTGAATCTCAGTTTTATTTTTTGTTACCGTCGTATAGCCTTGAGATGCCCTAATCTAAAACCGCCTAAAAATGGTTATTTCGTGAGCAAAACGTGCAAGAATGTCTACAATGCCGTATGTGGGGTAAAGTGTAAACCAGGTTATGACCTTATTGGAAGCAGCGTGACAATATGTCAAGATGACGGCATGTGGTCAGGTTCCCCAGCAGTTTGTGAAGGTAACAAGATTTCTTATATTCATCATTTTAAGAAAATAATATTGTGGCAGTAGAAATAAGTAATTCAAAAGTATTTCTTAAAGTTTAATTTTGATTTCAAAAAATGACTTTTGATTTTTAAATCTTAACAAGGATACTTATTTAGACACCTAATCTCAACTGATAACCATTATTTAGGAATGCTGTGTTACATGGAACAATCACCAGCTGATTTCTGAAAATGCATTCATAATTGAGAGGTCAACTACAAAAATTGATTGCACCATTTCTTTACATCATACACATTAACAGAAACAAATGGTTTTACAGGCCACACAGGTACTCCAAATGTGGCAGTAAAAATGAGAACTTATCTGTTTTACACAATTATCAAGCACACCTGGCACCTGTATCAAATCAACAGAACCAGAATGCATTTGTCTCATTAATTAAATCGATGTAACGATGGTAAACTTGCATTAGTTGTAGCTGTTTCAATCAAGTTAGTCATCTACATTATTTATATACTTAGTATGACAATCGCAAAACATTTTTGAATTTGCCAATTATCATGAATGTATATACTGTATTCTTATATAACTGCGAGCCATTGTGTTCGATTTTTGAAATCAGCTTTTGTCCGTATAAATAACATGAACAAAAGAGACACCCAGCAATATATAACTACCTTATAATTTTATATACTATCTGTTTACATCTCAATAGCTGCGACTATCAAACAATAGATAGATCTATTTACATGAATTTATAACAAAACAAACCTATTCATTTCGGCATTTCTTTGTATTAGCAGATAGCGTTCAATATAATCCATACTTATCTCAGAGATGAAGTGTCTTGTCATTTGGTACAATTTCAACCAAGTGCTTCTTATAAGATTTCAAGTATGCAAATAACTGTTTGGAACCTTGCCTTTGGCCAAACTGTACCTATTTCTCTAGCAATTTACCATTCTTCATTCTGACTCTTTGAACTGATTTGTTTCATTCCATTTATGACTCCCTTTCTTTTTAGTGTACTCTCTCAGCCTATCTTCCGACTTACCATTTAGTAGAATTTAGTATGTGAATATTGTACTTTAAGATTTTTTCTCCATAAAGCATTTTTACAGGTTTAGCCATTTTAGTAGCAATTAAACCTGTCAAATAAACAGTTTTCCAAGAAAGAAGTGTTTTGGTATCATAGAATAGAACTGCAAATCGTAGCAAAAAATTGACCCAGATGTGAAAAGCATCGATCTACATTATATGACTGATTCTTCAACTTTCCCATCACATACGCTGATCCCATGTTAATCTTTCCAAGGTTTTAAGTTTCATTTTAATTATTTAGAAGAGCATCATCATCTCTATTTTCAGACATTATTTTTTCTAAAATCCACAAGAATCCAAGATATCTAATAATAAACCCGATCTTCAATTTAAAATGTTTTCTGAGGAAATGAAATCAGTTGGTATGTCAGGAACTGGCATATGAACCCTTAATGGCAAGTGCAATTCTAAAGAAGAAAATAAATTGCTTCACGCAGTTTCCTCTCTATCTCTGTAGAATATTGCACTATCACTATCTCATTATTTCTTCTATCATGAAATCTAAGAATAAAAACTGCCACTTGACCTGGATACGTACATGATTTGAAGCCATACTCAGTCAGGTCATCAAGGGAATATACTAACCTCATATCTACAGATATCCTCAGATATTCGTTATCTTGGTACCACAAAAATCAAACAAATAAATATTCCAGACTAAAGTACATGTTGAAAGTATACATTAACATGATGGTTAATATGAGCCATTATAAAATACAAATGAGAATACTCTTCATTATAATAATAAGTTGTAATTTTTCTGCAGTCAAGACGTGTAAGCCTCTGAAGAAGCCTAAGAACGGAGAACTGATGTGTGATAAAGATGACTTCTCATTCGGGACAACGTGTCATATCAGGTGCATCAAAGGATACAAACTGATTGGCTCGAAACAACGAAGATGTATCGGGATCGGAATGTGGAATGGTATCAAAGCAAAATGCAGAGGTAAGTAACAGTACCAGATATTTTAAATCAATGTTTCTGTTGTTGTTATAATTACCTAATTCAAGAGGCATCAATGCTTAATAAGTGAAGCATGGTTTCAAATGTTACAGGTTGTGACACTATAGTGTTAAACATCAATTTGTTAATTTGAGGAACAGTTGAGTATTTTAGGATTCTGTAAAATTTTAAATGTCTCAGCAAAATAAAATCACCCACTCACTAATCATGAAATAATGAATGTAAACATATTCAATGATGTTATTTCAACTATAAAATTTAATGTGGAGATATCAATGACGTCAAGCAATTATCACTGAAATTATAAAGTCAGACTCCATCCTAATTATCAGGTTTGATAGACATTATAAAGATTTTATTTCCTGTCAATGATATCAACTCATATCAATTATCACAAGAATAGTGATTTTTAACACATCAGAGACTGGTTTAAGCCCATGTACCTTTTAAAGGTAACAATTAGCCAACCAGTAGATAATCCTTTGAACCAGAACCACCCAGCAAAAACTACCTTATTTTATGTATAATCTCTTTACATCTCAGTAGCTGAGACTATCAAACAATAGATAGATCTATCAGATATTTAGAATCTTTGGTAACGATGTCTTACATCCATATTTTCAATTCTCCATAGTAGATATCTTATAAATTGTTAAGTAAAAAAAATTGTCATGTGCTCAGGGTTCTGAACTCACAGCTGCCTAACTGTCAATGGCAATCACTTTTCACTCTTGGCAATGAACTTGGAAAAATAGATGCCTATTGGGCAATGGATTGAGTGCCCGTATGGTAAATAGTGGCAATCATGTTTTCAAATTTTGATGTGAATACTTTATCTGTTCAATTCAAGGAAAGATACATCAATTTTCATGATTTTACACAACTTTGGAATGATGTTAGTCAAGATTATTTCTTTTTCTTTTGTCTATTAATTGTGTCTTTTGAATCAATGACAAATTGTCTCTGTACTCCTATTTTATTTCTTCTCTCATCTACCCTGCGCGCAGAGTCTAGTTATAATGAAGCTCTCTTTTGAGAAGCGAAGTCAAACGAATGCAAAGGGTATCTCTCATCATTTGTCTGCATATTTGTGCTGCACACTTATTGGCCCCCTTATTGCCTGAATGTATGCCAAACATATCTAAGAATTAGAAAAATGAATAACATATGCTTCGTTCATAAGGATTAAATACTACCATGACCCATGGACCTCCATCCCATTAATGATTGATTATGTTTCAGTATGGCAGATAGGTTATCTGACAGACCATGGGAATGTCTGCCTGTATTTTTTGCCGAGTACTTTCGATTCTAAACATAATTTTTGTAATAAATGTAATTGGGGGAGGCAAATTACTGCATAAGCCTCAACAATACGAGCTATAACTATATCATGTGAATTATAAATGAAACAGTCGCAAATAAACAAAATGAATACCAAATTGCTAAAAAAGCAACCAATAAAATAATGCAGAATTGCTCATTTTTAAATGTTGAGAAATATGTGCTTTCAGAGATAAAATGTCGGGTACTACCTGCATTGAAAGATGGCAATATGGAGCCATCAAAATGCAGCAAACAAGATATGCCATCTGGTAGTATATGTAGGATGAAGTGTGATCCTGGATATAGAAGGGAGGGACCATACACAAAGCAATGCAGTACAAGTGGTAAATGGTCACAGGAGACAAGGACTGAATGTATTGGTAAGTTCATACTGGGAATTTTGCTTGTACAATGAATCATAGATGCAAAATATTTATATTGTAAAACAATTGGTATTCAATGCATGTATCATTTATTACAATCAACTTGTTTTCTTTATCAAAAAGTAACCTGTAAATCTGTAATTATTGAACTCTTTTGGCTTGCTCTGTTGGTCATATTGTGCACTGAATATCATTGTCATTATACGATGAATCGTAGATGCAAAATATTTATATTGTAAAACAATTGGTATTCAATGCATGTATCATCTATTACAATCAACTTGTTTTCTTTATCAAAAAGTAACCTGTAAATTTGTAATTATTGAATTGTTTTGGCTTGCTCTATTGGTCATATTGTACACTGAGTGAATATCATTGTCATTATATCTTTATAATGCATTTTGTATTCCAGATGAGAGCCCCCCAGTGTTTCACTGCCCAAGTGATATCAAGGTTGATGCGGATGAAGATGACAATGGTGCAATGGTGCGCTGGACAGTTCCTGTTGCCATTGACAACTCGGGATATCTACCTGCAATGAAAGTAGTTCCAGCAGTTGAACCTCCAAATAAGTTCCCAATAGGAACCAATGAGATTGCTTATACTGCAACTGATCCTACTGGAAACTCCGGAACATGTCAATTCACGATCAAAGTCATTGGTGAGCAAATGTGTTTGCACTTAATTATATCTATCATCATAAATTCATGTAAAGGATGTAAACTTTGTCTATACTTTCAAAACTTACTTATTGCATATGTTTAGACCAATCAGACTATGGCTCTGTAACTGGTTCTAGTCAGAGTGAACTGTTCTAGATGATCACCTCAGAGTTAAAAGATAATTACGAATGAATACTAATGACTTTTTAGATACCCAACCACCTCGTGTTGACTACTGCATCTCACCAGAACCATTTATCGCAACTCATGGGACTGCAAAAGACATTACCTGGGAAATTCCAGAATTTTCTGATAACTCTGGAGAAGAACCTAAAGTAGTTCAAGACAATGGGTTTGGTGAATATCCTGTAGGGTTCCATCTTGTGACGTATACTGCTACAGATAGCTCCGGCAACAACAACACATGTATCATTGAGATTTTTGTACAACGTAAGGCCATTATAGTCACATTTCCAAATCAGCATGGTGAATGAATATTGAGAAACTCCAAAGGGCATCATTTTAAGAAAATAGCATCCTTGATTTTAGAATTATAAGACAGCAAAGTAACTGAATGTGGAAACAAAATTACAAACTTGTAGTTGAACATGAAAATTTTAGACAAAATTCTGAAAGTAAAAAAAACACAAATAACTGTGAAAAATGCCTTTTATTGCAAGTTATAATTATTTAGAACAAAAGTTCCTTCATTTACAAAGACACTGAATCATGCAACCCATATATATCAGTCATTTTTTATTATATTCCAGCGCATAAATGTGCCTATCCACAGGATCCTGTGAATGGTGTTGCTATCTGCGCAGCAACTACAGATACGAGATATGTGTGTGTCCTGGAATGCATGGGAGGCTATGACTTTGCAATAGAACCTGCTCCGTCATATGAGTGTGAAGTCTCAAGTGGTATTTGGGAACCTGAGGAACAAATGCCTTTCCCAGATTGCGCAGGTTGGTCTTTGTTTTGTGTTTTTCAGTGGTTATACTTTCTTAGAAGTCAAGAATACAGAAAACAACTACTCCCACTCATTTAAAGACAATTACTTTTACTGGTAGATAACATGTAGCTCTTGATCACCAGCGATCTCAGCATATTTATGTTCCCATTTACAAGTATAACTCTTCATTATGATCTTTTATCAACTAATCTTGGAACAAATTGTATATCTTGAGTAATATTTTTTTTTCTATTTTTGATTTCAAAAATAATTCCAAGTGAATAATGTTAATATAGTCAAGCCCTGTTATTTTCACTGGACTTGTGATTTTCAGAATTGTGTGTATCAAAGAATGTTAGGTGCTATGCTGCAGTGTTTTCCACTATATACTTGTTATTTTCAGAATCATTTGTATCAAACAATGTTATACAATCAGGCACTTTCATATTTCACTTTACTTGTTATTTTCAGAATCATTTGTATCAAACAATGTTATACAATCAGGCACTGTCATATTTCACTTTACTTGTTATTTTCAGAATCATTTGTATCAAACAATGTTATACAATCAGGCACTGTCATATTTCACTTTACTTGTTATTTTCAGAATCATTTGTATCAAACAATGTTATACAATCAGGCACTGTCATGTTTGACTTAACTTGTTATTTTCAGAATCATTTGTATCAAACAATGTTATACAATCAGGCACTGTCATGTTTGACTTAACTTGTTATTTTCAGAATCATTTGTATCAAACAATGTTATACAATCAGGCACTATCATGTTTGACTTAACTTGTTATTTTCAGAATCATTTGTATCAAACAATGTTATACAATCAGGCACTGTCATGTTTGACTTAACTTGTTATTTTCAGAATCATTTGTATCAAACAATGTTATACAATCAGGCACTGTCATGTTTGACTTAACTTGTTATTTTCAGAATCATTTGTATCAAACAATGTTATACAATCAGGCACTGTCATGTTTGACTTAACTTGTTATTTTCAGAATCATTTGTATCAAACAATGTTATACAATCAGGCACTGTCATGTTTGACTTAACTTGTTATTTTCAGAATCATTTGTATCAAACAATGTTATACAATCAGGCACTGTCATGTTTGACTTAACTTGTTATTTTCAGAATCATTTGTATCAAACAATGTTATACAATCAGGCACTGTCATGTTTGACTTAACTTGTTATTTTCAGAATCATTTGTATCAAACAATGTTATACAATCAGGCACTGTCATGTTTGACTTAACTTGTTATTTTCAGAATCATTTGTATCAAACAATGTTATACAATCAGGCACTGTCATATTCGACTCTCAAGACAGGTGTGATGACAGACTAGTGCAAAACCAACTGGAGACAATGTTTGAGGAAATCATGAATCTACAGGTATCGTCATACATTAATTACTGTTGAAAACTTGAATGCAGTCAATTCAATGAATAAATGCTTAAAAGTTGAAATGAAGCATTTCTGCATTTCAATGACAGATAGTCTGAATAATTTCAAGTCATGAGAAATTCTGATTTTATCTGATCCTATTTCCTTCTCTACTGTTCTTCTCCTGTTCTGGCCATGCATATATAAAGACTAATTTTCACAAATATTTGATTTCCTAGATTCAAGATGGCTGTGAACAAGATGTAAACTGTGAAATTAATGATATATTCACAGAATGTCTTGAGAGGATTGACGAAGGTAAACATAATTACATGTACTTCTACATTATTACTTACTTATAACCAGGCGACCCAAAAGTACAACACCTTTAATTTTGGAATAATACTTTCAAATATACTGTAATCTTCTTGTGAAGTGTCACACTTATATTGCATCTTTAACATTGGGATTAAAAGAAATCACATGTTCTGTCATTTATTACATGCATTCACTCATTATACAGGTATAAATGAAAATACAACATTCCCATATATGTTTTAAACAACCAGATATGTAATGAAACAACCTTTTGCATTCTTTCTAAAAATATTTTTCTGTAATATGATGGTGAATCTCCTTGGGCACATTTTTGGCTCTGTAGCACAATTTTAATTTTTGTGATCAAACCGGTTTTCCTATGACCATGCTCGTATAGACAGTAATCAGTATATTTAACTATAGTTTCTCTTTTTCAATAGAGATAAGCAATGCTATCAACGTCCTCCCATACAGGAGGAGGCGTTCACCACCAGAACTTATTCCAACACAGAAATCAGAGGATGGACTTAAAAACCAAGTTGAGGTTGACTTCAATATTGAAGGTAAATTAAATGGCTTTTGGGCTTTTCTATTTGAAAATTGAGGAATTTCTTGAAAAAAATTCATATTATGGCTCATGTAAGAAATAGTTTGTTTTCATTGGTCTAATTAATAGTTAAATTGGTTTTAGTAGACATATTTTTGGAATATATCTTAATTTTCTTTATATAAACAGATATACCAATAATCTTAATTACAAAGACAAACATACAGTATGTGATTTTACTTGTAAATTAATGTAATTATTTTTAATGTTGCCCTTTGTGCTTTCTTATTATTTGGAAATATAGGGTATGTATTGTATATCAAGTTTGAAAAACTTTATGATTTAATACAGCAAACAAAAGCTGATTGTGGATAAAAAAAATGCATAAAGTTGTAATGACTACTCTTAAAGCAATACATACAGTACCCTAATAGAGCCCAACATTGCAATTGATGGCAAACACTTTCAAATAAACAAATACAATGTGCATATGATTCACAATTTCTCCATTTTAGCATCTATCAAATATGTTAACAACACTGCCACATCAACCAGTATATCACAGAAGAAGTTACTGCAATCCATCAACAATATCAAGAGCATACTAGAAGGCAAGGCAATGAAAGGCGAGATAGTCCTGGGCCAGGGGGATCAGAAAGTGGTATCAAGGGACATCACATTTGACCCTAACCACCCTGCCTTTATGTGTGCTCAAGGCAGCGTGCTTCACTTCAATAATTCTGACATGTGTGGTAAGTTTCACAAGGGTTTCATTAACAGCAGGCAACAGGCAATTTTCACCAGTTGTTTTCACAAAATCGCCTGTTGTTTTAGGGATTTTTCAAATTTTCCATGTTAAATTTATATGAATTCCATTAATTTTCATATTTCATTCTTTTCTTCCAGTTGCCTGCCCGCTAGGCACCTATTTCAATGTTATCTCCAAGACATGCGAGGGGTGTACTAGGGGCACATACCAACCAGAAGAAGGCCAACTGTCCTGCCTAGTATGCCCAGATAAGACATCAACAAAGTCAAACTCATCTAAAACTGTAGGCCAATGTAAAGGTATGGCTACTAACTTGTACATGAAGTATAAGAGGAGATTTTTCTCTTTTTCAACTCTTTTAACAAATATGTTTTCAATGGTCCAGTTTTCTTGCATGCAATTCTGACTACTCATAACTACAGAATTCAGTAACTTAATAGAGGGAGAGGGAGAGTCCTATCATCTTATAGAATTGTAAATGAATGGCATCATTTGAGATCAAAGCCCTCCATCAGTACCTTTCTAGAAGGTCAATAAAACACCGTAAAATATATGAGTTATATGATGAATTAACAAAGGGCTTATTCATGTATTTGCAGCTCAGTGTTTACCTGGTAGTTTCTCAGAGACAGGAGTAGAACCATGTCAGACATGTGAAAAGGGTTACTTTCAACCCGACTATGCCCAATTTCAGTGTCTGGAGTGTCAAGAGAATAAAACAACTTGGAGACGGGGAGCAAGGCAAAAATCCCAATGTGGAGGTAAAGTGTGATTTACATGTACCTGTAATAAATCAAATGTGTTTCACATTTTATTGATTGTGATAACTTGTAACCAGAAATTGAAAGTATTGTCATTATCAATACTATTTGATATGCCTAATTGTTTTCTTTCACTGAAGGAAGAATCAATATGAGTCATGCAATTTAAAGTTGAACCTATAAAAGCTTGTCTGCAAAGTTAAACCAATTATATACATGTATTTTGATATTCTCATTTCAATATACATCTTTTCTTTAAAGTAATGTGTCCTGCGGGATATGTGTCTAAAACTGGCCTAGAACCATGCTTCCCATGTCCAAGAGGGTACTACCAACCCAACAGAGGGGCTTCATCAGTGTTCAGGTGCCCCATGAATGTAAAGACCCAAAGTGTTGGCTCTACCAGTATCAACCAATGTGAAGGATATGAGAACATGATACAGAATGACATTATCTCAGAGGCAATATCTACAAAGGCTATTGTGATCAATAAGTGTTTTGAAGACCCCTGTAAAAATGATGCAGAATGTAAACCTCTTCAGCCTAGTTTTGTGTGCATCTGTAAACCTGGATATACTGGTAAGAGCTCAGAATATCTGTTATCCAGCATATTGCACTTGTGGTTGCCTTGTTGTTAACATCCTCCTACGCAGGTGTCCAGAATCCATACCTCCTTCTTCCCCCTGCTATAACCAATTTGGAAGTGCCCGATTAAACTGAATCACATGATCTAATTATGCGCAATGACTTATACATGATTTCTGTCGCAGTATTGCGACAGCCAATCAGATTGCGAATTCCTGTGATCGGAGGATGTGTTGTTTATGGCAATTACTTTTTGCTTGTCATGGTAATGGCATTTTTGATAACTGCTCTATTTTTGTACCTTAGTTTTGCTGTTATCATGAAGTACAATAATGCAAACTGTGTTGAATAATATGACATACAAATTCTATGTTTCACCTCCAGTCAAAGAACAAGTGCATGGCATCAAGGACAATATCACATGTGTAAAGGAATGAATTCCATAAACCAAAGTATTATTTTATGAGTGAAATAGAAGTAAGTAGCTAAAAACTGATACTCCTAATTTTTTATAGGTATATACTGTGAGACTGAAATAGATGAATGCTTCTCAGAGCCATGTGCACACAATGGTACATGTATCAACGAACTTGATGGTTATCTGTGTGAATGCAAACCAGGATATACAGGTATGTTTTTCATTTACGTAAATCATTTCCAAACATAAAAATCAAGTCAATAACCGTTTCAAAATAACACTAAAATTGCAATATGATCCAAGTAATGCTCAATAATTTTTGATTGGTCAGTGAGTGTAAGTTTTGACTTGACTGCTTCAAGTTATAATAAGTTACCTATATTTTAATTTTCCTCAAGCATTGTTACAGTAATAGTAAGTTATCAATATTGCCTATATTTTACTTTTAAGCTGTCAAATGTCAAAATCATATCTACTGTAATCTTCAGCAAATGTTTTGGTCTACACTTTGGTATCATTTAACAATCCACATCGGGAGAGATATAAATGAATGGAAATTAAATAATCAATCATTAATGTAGAAAAACCATTTAGATGCTATGTGGACTGTAAAACCATGTACATTTTATGATAGGTAATGATTGTGAGAAGGAGATAAATGAGTGTGATTCAACACCATGCAAGAACAATGCAACATGCACTGATGAACTGAACAGCTTCAAGTGTGTGTGTCCACTGGGATTCACTGGCCAACTATGTGAGACCAACATTGATGAGTGTGAGAGCAACCCATGTAAAAACTCTGCAACTTGTCAGGACCATATAGGGAACTATACATGTCTGTGCCCTCTGGGGTATATAGGAGTTCACTGTGAGACTAATCATAATGAATGTGAGAAGTTCGCCTGCATCAACAATAGTACTTGTGTTGATGGCATCAATAATTACACGTAAGTCAACATTTTTTGATAATTTGAGAAGACTGTCGAGATAACAGTACCTGGGCAATATGGGAAAAGTACAAAGCACCCAAAGTTTAATCAAAAAATAAAAGTTCATAAAATATGAAAAGTCTTGGAGCAAATGAATAGTCTTGAAGAAAATATGATGGAAACTGTATGAAAAAATTTGTTGAAAACTGTATAACGAAAATATGATGAAAACTGTATGAAAAAAAACTTTAAGATAAAAACTGTATGAAGAAAATATGATAAAAACTGAGTGATTACAATTACAGGTGTAAGTGTCTCCCAGGTTATACAGGATTCCACTGTGAAACACAAATCAATGAGTGCCTCACATTTCCCTGTGAGAATGGAGGACAGTGCTATGACTTGGAGGGAGACTACAAATGTAGATGCATGCCATCCTATGGTGGCAAGAACTGTGAAAAGAGTAAGATCAATAACTATCACATTATACGAAGGCATACAGTAAAATGAATTATGAATTTGTATGAAGCCTGTCATACAAATATTTGTTATTTTATGTTTGTTCACATCCTTTCAGAGCTTTCCTCAGATTTTGACATGGTGTTCCCAGTATCAAGCACGACAGACTATGTTATACTACCAGACCTTCTAGGAGATCTAACTGAGGTCACTGTAGCCTTCTGGATGAAATCAACAGACAAGAGGAATTATGGAACTGCATTTTCATATGCAACTGATAAAGTAGACAATGCTCTTACTATCACGGATTACAATGGGCAAGTAACTTAAGTGAATAAATGCAATGAACCATAGAGGGGGAATACTCCAAATTTTATAGATGACTTCAACTTCAATTGAGTTTTGTGTCGAGAGGGCCCTCATTTTGATCTGTTTGATATGAACAACAAGAAGAATTTGCTATACAGTTTATATCATATGAAAATGCAATGTATTTATGTACATGGTTTGTTTTCTTTCTAGGATTGTGATTTATGTGAATGGTGCCAAAGTAATCACAGATGTGACAGTGAATGATGGCAGATGGCACCACCTTGCAGTTACATGGACAAGAAAGCAAGGATTCTGGCAAATCTATGTCGATGGCGATATAGTCGACCAAGGATTTGACCTTTCTGAAGGATCAACAATTCATGGTATTTCATTTTAACATCCATTTTACATCCTTCTTCTCATTTGAAATATTATCGTATGATCTGTAAAATGAAGCCTTCTGATTGGTCAGTTCTTGTGCTGAACCAATCTGTATTGCTACTGAGATTGTCCCCATTGATCATCTCTGTCGCAATACAGAAAATATTAGTACGGAGGGGAAATTCTCAGTAGCAATACAGAGTATCACACCATAAAAATGTTAAAGAATGATTTGTAGTGCAATACAGGATATATTCTGCTCTCGATATTCTGTATTGGCACTCGACTTCGTCTCATTCCAACACAGAATTTCTCGAGCAGAATATATCCTGTATAGCACTTCAAATTATTCAATAACTTATATTGTTGGTAATTCCTAGCTGTTCTAGTATTATACTGTGGAACTAAAAAATAGTTAATACAATTGTATGTTGATTTACAGCTGGTGGAACTCTGGTATTGGGTCAAGAGCAAGATGAAAAGGGAGACAAGTTCAGTGCATCAGAGTCCTTCATTGGTCGTATGAGTAAAGTCAGTGTGTTCAGTGAGGTGTTAGAGTATGATGAGGTTCAGAAACTTGTGTATTCATGTGATCCATACATCGGGGACTATGTGGCATGGCCTGACTTCCTTAAAGGTGTAAATGGAAGAGTACAAGTGGCAAATTCTTCCTTCTGTAATGGTGAGTAAAACAAGAGGCAATCAATCTGATGAGGTATTCCTCAAAAGAATAAGTAATCATATAAGTAACCACATATCAAAATGCAGACACATGATCATTTTATCACATACATGAAGGCATTCCAATCAAACATTTAGGTTTATTTGCTTAGATGATTTAAATTTTCTTGTCTTGTCAATAACATGGAGAACTGCATGGGACATACCACTTTTGTACAACGTTCACTCTCTCCGGAATAACTATTATACAGAGAAGTGTAGTTTTTTAAGGAAGTCTATGATTTTTTATAATACTAGTGGCATTCAAATGGGACTGTATTATCAAAGACCCAATTATACAGTGAGCTTCAGAGCATCTCACAGTTTTATCACAATGTGAATGGCCTCATAAATACTTCCCCTGTTATCACTATGTGTATTTTGTAGATTGCAAGGTACCAGCTGAAATTGAGAATGGAAAGGTGACATATGATGATGTTACACTAGGATCTGTGGTTAGCTATACCTGTGATGAAGGATATCAAGTGAAAGGGTCCAATGAACTAAGATGTGGCGTATATGGAGAGTGGGATGCAGATGAATCTGTTTGTGAGAGTGAGTGAACCATAATTAGTTTTAATTAAGCAAGTAAATTGAATGTTTGGATAAATTAGTGAATTGTTGACACTTCCATTGTTTCAAATGACTATAACTTGAAATATAATATATTCTCTGTCAGTCCATTAACATCAATGTGCTCTACCATATTACATATCAGATAAATACAAGAACACAAATGTGTACAAAATGTCCCCACCAATGGGTGATCCCGTCTAATGGTTATCTTGAAAATGGGTAGACAAGACTTAATTTGAGGATGGAAAATCCAAAATGGCGACCTTAAAATTTACCCAGAATGCCATGAAAATTTGAAATTGATCCATCACACAGTTAACCAGAAAACATGTAAACAAGATTTTAGGATGGAAAATCCAAAATGGCTGCCTTGACATTTACCCAAAATGTAAAAAAACTAATCAGTTTGTAAATTTTCATACTAAAATTCATCCCTGAAAATATGAAATTGATCTTCCGAATGGTTCACCTGAAAACGCATAGACAAGACTTTACAAACAAGATTTTAGGACAGAAGATCCAAAATTGCTGCCTTGACATTTACGAAGAATGCCAAAAAACTAAACAGATGTAGATTTTCATACTAAGAATCATCCCTGAAAATTTGAAATTGATCTACCAAACGGTTCACCTTAAAACCCGTAGACAAGACTTTACAGGCAAGATTTTTAGACGGAAAATCCAAAATGGCTGCATTGACATTTATCCATACTGCCAAAAAACTAATCAGATCTAGATTTTCATACTAAGAATCATCCCTGAAAATTTGAAATTGATCTACAGAATGGTTCACCTGGAAATGCATAGACAAGACTACAGACAAGATTTTAGGACGGAAAATCCAAAATGGCTGCCTTGACATTTACCCAGAATGCCAAAAAACTAATCAGTTCTAGATTTTCATACTAAGAATCACCCCTGAAAATTTGAAATTGATCTAAAAAACGGTTCACCTGAAAACGTGTAGACAAGACTTTACAGACAAGATTTTAGGACGGAATATCCAAAATTGCTGCCTTGGCATTTACCCAGAATGCCAAAAAACTAATCAGATCTAGATTTTTATACTAAGAATCATCCCTGAAAATTTGAAATTGATCCACCAAACGGTTCACCTGAAAACGCGCAGACAAGACTTCACAGACAAGATTTTAGGACGGAAAAATCCAAAATGGCCGACAATAAAAAAGTGATTATGAGTTTTTGCTAATTTCCTTTTACAAAATTATCACATATAACTACTGTTAACAATAACATAGGCTTTTACAAGAAAGTACATCTGAAATTATTTATAAAGCTACTAAATAGTTAAAGTATGAAAACTCAAAAACACCATTCAATATGATACAAAGTATTATCGCGCGCTAACTTTTCTTAAGACATTCAAAATGGCTGCCATGACGGAGCTAACAGGTTCAAAACCTAATCAGATCTAGAATGAAGTGAGCTATACAAGATATTAAAGTTTTAAAAGCAACTGTGAAGCCGTTTTTCTTAAAGTTTGCAGACAAGGATTTTAGCATTTGACTTCAAAATGGCCGACAGGAAGTAGGTTTCGAGTTAATTTTTTTTCATCCACATCTGTATGCACTCATAAGTTATCCCTGAAAATTTGAAGGTGATATCTGTAGCGGTTTTGGAGAAAACTCCCGGACGTACGGACGGACAGACAGACGGACGGACGGACAGACGGACAGACAGACGGACGGACGGACGCGCCTAGGCCGACAATATGGCCCCACACTATGTGGTGGGGACATAATTAAAAACATGTTCTTAATTTAATGTTTAGGAGTAAAATGTCCATACCCAGGGTCAGTCCCCTACAGTGACAACCATGGCAGGGATCTCAGATATAAAGGAGTCTTTACTTATACATGTAAACGTGGTTATCGCATGGAAGGCAATGGAACACGGGTGTGCCAAGCAGATGGAACTTGGAGTGGGGAGAAGCCTCAATGTGTTTGTAAGTTGTCCCATTATAGAATGAATGAAAAAGAATAAAGAGTGAAAAATGTTGTACGAAATCTTTTAAAAATCATTGCCAATGTTGTCCATGCAATCAAAATTTTAGATTGCAAAAAGGAATTGAGATATCTGATCAAATATAGAAGTTATATTTGATAACTATAATTTATTCATAATTAAAGTACATTGATAGTTACTATTGCATTGCAGTAATCTTCTGTCCCGAGCCTGAACAAAAGAGTGAAATGCTAATTGAACGTTGGAGCCCAATCTACAAACTTGATGACAGTATTAGATTCTACTGCAAGCCAAATTTTGCCATCAATGGAACTTCTATTCTTCACTGCCAGGAAAATGGAACATGGAGTGGTATTGTTCCATCATGTGAACCAATAACTTGTAGAAACCCTCCTGCTGTAACACATGGAAATCTTGTCAATGATATAGGCGGTTCATATGCTGCTGATAGCTTGGCTAGATACGAATGTGAAAAAGGTTACAAAATGGAAGGTATTAACACTGTGAAGTGTTTCCAAAATAGAACATGGAGTTCTACTGTACCTGTATGTTCATTAGTGATATGTGATGAGGTTAAGAACATAGAACATGGGAAGAAAATAGGAGACAGCTATACATATGATTCGGTGGTAGAGTATCAATGTGAACATGGTTATGAAATAAAAGGATCTTCAGCAATAATATGTTTGAATAGTGGAGAGTGGAATGCATCTATACCATCGTGTAATTTGAAACGGTGTGATGCCCCAACTGAAATTGAGAATGGTAAGATAACTGGTCTGGAGTATGTGTATGAGAGTACGATACAGTACACTTGCAATGAAGGCTATGCATTGGAGGGTGTTGAAAAACGTGAGTGTCTGATAAACTCTACATGGAGTTTTGACCCACCAACTTGTAATCCGGTATTCTGTGGAGCTCCAACTTCATTACAGAATGGACACTTCACTGGAGACAACTTTAACTTTGGGGCACATATAACATATAGCTGCGATGATGGATTTACTCTTGAAGGGAAATCTAACAGTGAATGTCTAGCTAACAAAACCTGGAGCATCACCAACAATTTCTGTGAGAGAGTTAACTGTGAAGCACCTTCCCCTATTGATAATGGTCATGTCATAGGAACTGGTTATGTATATGAGGACGTCATTGAATTCAGATGTGACAAAGGATATGACTTGGTTGGTTCTTCAGTTAGTACTTGCTTAGCTAATGCTACATGGAATGCCACAGAACCATATTGTAAAATCAAATCATGTCCCGAACTCAAGGATATTGAAAATGCCAGACTTTCTGTGACAGACATAACATTTAGATCTAAAGCTGTGTATTCATGCTTAATTGGATTTGAGATGAAGGGAAGAGGAGACCTATCATGTGAAGCAGATGGTAAGTGGAGTCATCCATTGCCTGTGTGTAAAATCATCAAATGTGGTAAGCCTCCAGAAATAGAAAATGGTATAATGACTATGGATAATATGACATATGGTTCAAAGGCACGTTATCAGTGTAAAAAGGGATTTAAAATGCAAGGAGATGAATCTGTGACATGTTCCAAAGATAAAAATTGGAGAGGTGATATCCCATTGTGCTACAGTAAACAATGCCCATTTCCAGCTCCACTACCATATGGAGAGATTATTGGTTCATCATACACTTTCAATAGTGTCATTACAGCTAAATGTGATGCAGGCTATATTCTAAAAGGGGATAAAGAGAGGACATGTCAAGAAAATGGTGAATGGAGTGGTGTGGAACCTAACTGCACTGCAGTAGAGTGCACAAAACCATCTTATGTCATATCAAATGGTAGAATGATTAACACTAACTTCTCTTACGGAGCTACCATAAACTATGTTTGTGATGTTGGATACTATATTGATGGCCACACATCACGGACATGCGGAGCAGATGGAGATTGGGACAAAACATTACCAGTTTGTGAAAGGATTGAATGTCCTCAACCTTTGAGGCCATTAAATGGGAGATATGAAGGTTTTGAATACAAGTTCAAAAATACCTTAAAAGTTGTCTGTAGACGAGGCTATGAAGTTGTAGGTGAAGCATATCGAACTTGCCTTGCAGATGGCACATGGTCAGGAGGAGAAAGCAAATGTGTTAAGATCTCATGTAAACGACCATTGGACATTAAAAATGGAAAAGTGATAATACAAGGCACTGAATACAGACAGCAAATTGAGTATGAATGTAATGAGGGCTATGAAATGATAGGACAACCTCGGCAAAAATGTGGAGCTGATAAGCAATGGAGTAGCCTACCTCCATATTGTGCAATAATTGAATGTGGTGCTCCAAGATTACCCTCAAATATGATACAACAAAAACAAATTGAGTATACATTTGGATCAATAGTGACATACAGTTGTGCAGCTGGCCATTTTTATCAAGGTTTACTCCAGCAAAGATGTGAAAAGGATAAAACTTGGCAATGGATTGGTGGAATTATTCCATACTGTGAAAAAATGGACTGTGGTCCTCCAAGATCTCATGCTAATATGCTTATCGAAGAAAGCTCTTTAACTACATATGAATCAATAGTAAAATACACATGCAGAGAGGGATATTCATATTTTGGAATTATTGAACAAAGATGTGATGAAAATGCAGTGTGGAGTTGGGTTGGATCAACAGTTCCTATATGTGCTGCAATATCATGCATTGACCCTCCAGATCTCCCTGGAGGATTAGTAACAATTCACGAAGGACTGAATTTTGGTGCTAGAATAGAATATTCTTGCATGCCTGGATTCAAAATGATAGGAGATGGGATCTGGAAATGTCAGGCAGATGGACAGTGGAGTGGAAGTTTACCTTCATGTGTTACAGCTGGCTGTCCTCCACCAATCGATGTAAGTTATGGTAAAGTTAAGGGAAACAGTTTTAACACTGGGGAGTCAATTGAATATGAATGCCAACCTGGATATGTAACTATAGGGATCTCTATAAGAAAATGTACTGTGAATGGGACATGGTCAGGGACTTTACCTTCTTGTAGGTATGTATCTTGTCCACCCCCGCCTGATTGTACAGGTGGGCGCATTAAAAAACCTCTTACAACATACCACTATGGTAACATTGTAGAATATACTTGTGATGAAGGATTTGAACTAAGGGGAACATCGAAAACTGAGTGTCTAGCAAATGGGACATGGTCCTTTACATCACCACAGTGTATCGCAGTATCATGTCCAAAACCACAAGAAATATTTTTTGGCAAGGTCATAGGATCATCATTCAAAATAGGTGATTCTATTAATTATGAATGCAGACCAGGATATGTGACTGTAGGTGTAGCAACACGAAAATGCACAGCAAATGGAGCGTGGTCTGGTTCATTACCCTCATGTAGATATGTGTTATGTCCCATACTACCACCCTTTCAAAATGGCAAAACAGAGACATCATCTTATCATTATGGGAGTATAGTCAAATATCAATGCAACACAGGGTTTGAGAGAGAGGGTGTTGCTACAAGAGAATGTCTTGAAAATGGAACATGGTCATACGCTGCACCCAGATGTGTTGCTGTATCATGTCCTCCTCCTAATGAAGTAAGATTCAGCCAGGTCGTCGGTTCATCCTTTAAGATAGGAGAATCCATCAAGTACCAGTGCAAACCAGGTTATGTTACTGTTGGTGTTTCTACCAGAGAATGCATGGTAAATGGATCATGGTCAGGAACTCTACCATCATGTAGGTATGTCAACTGTGGAACACCACCAGCTTGTCCAAATGGGAATGTAATAGGGACGTCCTTTGTGTATGGAAGCAAAATAAAATATGAATGCAAAGAAGGCTTTGAAATCCAAGGTCTCCAAGAAAGCGAATGTCAAGCAAATGGTACATGGTCTCTTGCTACCCCTAGATGTATTGCTGTATCATGTCCTTCACCTCAAGATGTAGCATTTACAAAAATTGTTGGCTCATCATATAAAATTGGAGAATCTGTCAAGTACCAATGTAAACAAGGCTATGTAACAGTAGGTGTATCAACAAGAGAATGTATGGCAAATGGGTCATGGTCTGGTACATTACCATCCTGTAGGTATGTGAGATGTCAAACTCCACCAGTTTTCTTACATGGTAAGGTTGTTGGCACATCATACATTTATGGAAGTATAATCAAATATGAATGTAACCCTGGATATGAAAGGTTAGGTGTTGGGACAAGAGAATGTTTAGCCTCTGGTATATGGTCACATTCTCAACCAAGATGTAAAGCAATTTTATGTCATGAACCTGTTGAGCCAAGTCATGGTAGAGTGGTTAAGCTTGGAAGTGGAATTAACTTTGGTCAACAAATAAGGTTTGATTGTAGAACTGGCTATCGTTTGGTAGGAGATCATATTCTTACATGTTTATCTAATGGATCATGGTCTGGATTGTATGGCAAATGCATCAGAGTTTCTTGTCCTCCTCCAGTCAAAGTAAGGTATGCTACAGTCAATGGATCATCATATCTATTTAAGGATAAAATTGAATATCTGTGCTCGTCAGGGTATGTTGCAATTGGTGATGCTGTAAGGGAGTGTTTACCAACTGGATCATGGTCAGGCTCATTACCATCATGCCAGCGTGTGACATGTCCTCCTCCAATATCCTTTAAAAATGGACAGGTGATAGGAACATCATATATGGCTGGTGAAACAATAATATTTAAATGTGATCTAGGATATGAGTTAATTGGGAAAAGAACAAGCGAGTGTAGCACATCAGGTGACTGGTCAACAGCAATTCCAATGTGTATGAAGAGGAAATGTGAACCACTACCTCCGTTATTACATGGGTCAACTAATAATAAATTGATGCATTTTGGAGATCAAGTACGTTTCGATTGTGACCCAGGTTATCGCTTATCTGGAACATCTGTAAGGCAGTGCCAGGCTGATGGCAAATGGTCAGGATCAAATCCCTATTGTATAAAAGTTATATGTGCAAGACCCGTAGATGTGTCACATGCTGAATTCATAGGTGATCAAAGAAGTTTTGGAGTGTCTATTGCTTATAAATGTGACCCTGGTTATGAAATACAAGGTGAAGCAAATCGCACTTGTACAGCAAAGGGAATTTGGTCTGGAGCTACCCCCTCCTGTCTCAGAATCTCATGCAAGCCACTTTATCAATTTGAAGGGGGAAGAATCAAAGGATCAAGTTTTAAATTTGGTGATAAGATTAGTTATTGGTGTAACAATGGTTACCAGCTAGAGGGAAGATCTATAAGAGAATGTTTATCAAATGGTTCTTGGAGCTTTACAGCACCCAGATGTGAGCGTATAAGTTGTTATCCACCAGTTTCAACATCTGAAATGAAAATCATTGGAAGCTCACATAAGTTTGGAGATAGGGTCAGGTATATATGTGATCCTGGGTATGAAACAATTGGAAATGCTGTCAGTGAGTGTCTAGCAAATGGCAGTTGGAGTTTTGTGGCACCAACCTGTCAAATTGTAGTTTGTCCTAGACCACCTGATTTACAGAATGGTGACATACATGCGAGTAGTTATGATTTCAATAGCATTATATATTACAGATGTAATTCAGGATTTAAACTCAGCGGAGTAAAATCAAGAAAATGTAAGGCAAATAAAGATTGGAGTGGTGCTACACCAATATGTATCGCTACATCTTGTGACCAACCTAACCCCCTTAAGAATGGAACATACCGTGGATCTTTGGCAATAGGATCTATTATAAATTATAAATGCAACAATGGGTTTATTCTTGTTGGTGATAATATCCAGAAATGTCAAGAAAATAGGACATGGAGTAAGATTTCTGTTTCTTGTGAACGCATTAAATGTAATGATCCACAAACCATAAATAATGGTAAAATTATAGGAGATTCATTTAGATTTGGAGATCTTATCAAATATAGATGTGAAAAGGGATATGTATTGAAAGGTAAAGCAGAGAGGGAATGTTTATCTGATAGATCATGGAGTGGTTTAGCACCAGTGTGTATCATGATGGCATGCCCAGCACCACCTCAACTTCAGCATGGTAAGGTTCTAGGAACATCATTTATGTTTGGATCAATCATTGAATATGTATGCGACATTGGCTATGAACTGACAGGACCAAAAGAACGTTCATGTATGGAAAATGAGAAATGGAGTGGTGAAGATTCAACATGTGTAATCATTTCCTGTCCTCAACCTGATAATATTCAGCATGGGAATATACAAGGAAATGTTCACACATATGGCCAAACTATTAAATATATCTGTACAGAAGGTTATGAAATCATTGGTGAATCAGACAGGACATGTTCTAGATATAAAACATGGACTGGTGATCTTCCATTATGCAAGCGTGTCTATTGTGCTCCTCCTGCACCATTTGAAAATGGTGTTGTGGAAGGAAATGACTGGGAATATGGATCAAGTATTAAATATTTATGTGACGATGGATTTGAACTTGTTGGTATAGCAGAACGATGGTGCTTAGAAACTAAAGTATGGAGCGACAAAGATCCAAGCTGTGTCAAAATAAGTTGTCCTCTTCCTCCTGATATTGACAATAGTAAAGTAATCCAACTAGATGCAACATTTGGGGGAAATATAGAATATGAATGTGAAGAGGGTTTTTACTTAGTAGGTAATGCAATAAGAAATTGTAACAATGATAAAACATGGTCAGGTAATGTCCCAAAATGTCAGAGAGTCAGTTGTGATCCTCCAGAGAGAATTAGGCATGGAGAGATAATTGGCACAGACTATCTATTTGAGGACGTAATTGAATACAAGTGTCAACATGGTTTTGAAGTGGCTGGTCTGGCAAAGCGAAAATGTTTAAGTGATGGTGGTTGGGAGGGTACCACTCCATCTTGCAAGAGGATGGTTTGTCCAACACCTGGTAAACCGCAAAATGGTAATTTTATAGGTGGAACATTTGAATTTGGACATTATATCCACTTTATATGTAATGATGGCTATGAGATTAAAGGAGAGGCTGTTGTAACTTGCATAGCAGATGAACATGGGGGTGCCTGGGATAAGCTGTTTCCTACATGTATCATGATTGTATGTCCCGAACCTGAAAAAATTGAAAAGGGATCATTGAAGGGTAATATGGTTAAGACTCAGTATGGAGAGATTATTCAATACCAATGTGAGGAAGGTTATATCATAGAAGGCAACCCAAGGCGAAGATGTCAAAGAGATAAAACCTGGAGTGGAACTCTACCTAAGTGTAAAATGATTGAATGTGAACCCCTTGGAGCAGTACCTAATGGTGAGATCATAGGATATGACCATGGCTTCAGAGATGTAATAACATATGTTTGCAGAGATGGATTTGAAATGACAGGCTCAAATAAGCAGACATGTCAAGAAGATGGTACATGGAGTGGAAAACCTCCAACATGTGTACCCATACAATGTCCTGCACCTCCGCCTTTACCCAATGGTAAAATTGATGGAAAATATCATGAATACAAAGATAAAATACAGTTCACTTGTGATGAAGGTTATGTGTTAGTGGGGGAATCTAGTCTGGAGTGCATGGCTGATAAAATGTGGAATGGAAATTTTCCATCTTGCAGAAAAATAAGCTGTGGTAAACCAGATGTTGTAGAAAATTCAGAGTCCCGAGGCACCTCCTATAATCATGGAGATGAGGTAGAGTATAGATGTGAGAAAGGGTACAGACTTGAAGGTCACTCAAGAATAAGATGTCAGTCTGATGGTAAATGGAGTACCTCTGTTCCTAGATGTTATTTGATCACATGTGGTCCACCACCACCTGTTGCTTTTTCCATTACAAATGGTGCAACATTCCATGTAGATGATTTTGTTTTCTACAAATGTATGGATGGCTATGAGTTAAATGGAAATAATTTATTGCAATGTGCATCTCAAGGAGATTGGATTGGGGATTTGCCTACATGTGAGCCAGTCATTTGCGGTCCACCACCAGTGATATTATTTGCATCAACGATAGTAGAAAAGACAACATTTGGAAGTCGTGCAAATTATAGATGTAATGAGGGATACACTATTAGGGGAAGCTTAAGTGTTGAATGTAAAGCAAACAGACAATGGATGTCTGAAATACCAGCAGAGTGTGTACCAATCACTTGCGGAAGACCTCCCCTAGTTACTCATGGGGAAGTGTTAATATTTGAAGATACATACAAAAACTTTGCAAACTATTCCTGCGCCAAGGGTTATATCCTAGAAGGGAAAGAAAGACTGATGTGTACATCTACTGGACGATGGGAGAGACCAGCTCCTGTGTGTAGACATGTGGCGTGTGATTCACCCAGAATCAGCAGCAATGCTGTAGTGAATGGAAGTGACTACAGCTATGAGAGTGTTATACAGTACAGCTGCAAGGTTGGCTTTGCCCTGCATGGTGATCCATACAGAGAATGCAGGAGAGATGGCACTTGGTCAGGAATAGTTCCACAATGCCACAGTAAGATATTACTCTGATAATATTCATCACCAATATAATCAAAAACTACCATATATGCACTACAGTAATTAACAATTATATTTAAGCCAATGCTTTAGAGTACGTAGAGAAAATGTATATTCAATTATAAGCTAATGTGATATATATAGTTTATCCCACGATTAATTGTGTTATCTGTACAATAACAGCTATTGATATTTCTGATATTATTGAAATCCGTGTGATATTTTCCAGAAAATCGTTTATCAAACTCATATGCGTGTGATATCGTTTATCTCACGCATATCCGTGTGATATCACATTTGCATTTCGCGCCACAATATTGTTGGAAATAAGGTCAGATATTTTATTCTCTTTTGAGAAAATAGGTCCGTTAATTTATTCTCTTTACGTTTCATTGGTGTATTGAATTACTATTACTATATCATGTTACTTACTTTTAATTGTTAAAATAAAGTGTTTCAAATATTCAATTGATAGTCTAATTTCTAGTTTATATTGTCTGCCAATGTCCTGGAAATCGGATCAGAACATCACAAGGTGATTGTAATCATGGGATAAACCCAATATCACATAATTTCTCGTGATATCATTTTATCGCCTCGTAGATATCAAATATCAACACTCATTCGCTTCGCTCACTCGTGTTGATATTTGATATCAACTCGGCGATAGAGATGATATCATTCAAAATGATGCGATGTTCTGTATTTATCCCACGATTAATGTGTTATCTGTACAATAACAGCTATTGATATTTCTGATATTATTGAAATCCGTGTGATATTTTCCAGAAAATCGTTTATCAAACTCATATGCGTGTGATATCGTTTATCTCACGCATATCCGTGTGATATCACATTTGCATTTCGCGCCACAATATTGCTGGAAATTAGGTCAGATAATTTATTCTCTTGTTATATTTTATTATATTTTATTATTAAAATGTGATTGTAATCATGGGATAAACCCAATATCACATAATTTCTCGTGATATCATTTTATCGCCTCGTAGATATCAAATATCAACACTCATTCGCTTCGCTCACTCGTGTTGGTATTTGATATCAACTCGGCGATAAAAATGATATCACTCAAAATGATGTGATATTCTGTATATATCATTAGTGTTAAAGTCTGAATTGTGGGAAATATCAATGTTTAGAATTATATGCCTTTATTTTCAGGAATATATTGCCAAAGTCCAACTGCTGTTGACCATGGTAGGATAATGGGTGATGACTATGGGTATGGTGCAACAGTGGAATATGTCTGTGATCTGGGCTACTTTCTGGAGGGTGATAGATTCACTAGGTGTACAGAAGATGCCAGTTGGAGTGCTCAACCCCCAGTCTGTAAAGGTTTGTAAACCATAAATTGTTTTTGAAAACCATAAATATCAAGACTGTACATTTAGAGAAGAGTTTGTTAAAATATAGAAATAGTCAGTTGTAGAAATACAGCTAAAGAGAACTTTAAACTTAAGGCAAGGCATTAACATGCAAAATGTCACCACATGTCATTTGTTAGGGACTGACTCCCAAACACCAACTACTGAACACCAGATGCCAAACACCAACTGACTAACATTGTCTACAAAAAAAGTTGGAGACTGTAACAATATGTCACCATTCCTGGTGGTGATATAAAATTGTATAAAACATCCACCAAGATATATGTTGTGTTGACTTTTCAGAGGCATCTTGTCCCGAACCACCCCCAGTGCCAAACACAATTTCTCTACCAGTTAGTACATTCATGCCTGGTGATAGTATAGAACTGTTCTGTGGACTTGGCTATGAGCGTAAAGGAGACATGAACATTGTCTGCTTACCAAATAATACATGGTCAACACCTAAAGGATTCTGTACAAGTAAGTACACTGGTGATCCACTTGATTACGCTGAAACCGTTTCGGTAACAAAATGTCGGAACGTCGAAGGCACGATTTTTATTTTTTCCTTATTTCACACGTTGTAGGCAGAATTTCCACGATATTTTTATCACAAACGTGTATCAGTATCATATGATTAAGAAAATGTATACATTTGCGAACAAATAGTTCAGAAGACAACGGAATCGTCGATTTAATCCCTCACTTAAGTTACCGAAATGGTACTTCAAAAAACAGTTAAGATCTGCACTTTTAACCCTTACCGTTTATGTTACTTAAGTGAGGAATTAAATCGACGATTCTGTTCTCTTCTGAGCTTTTTTTCGTAAACATGTACCTTTTATAAAACATATGATACTTATACACGTTTGTGAGAAAAAATGTCATGGGGATTCTGCCTACAACAAGCAAAATAAGCAAAAAAGAAAAATAGTACTTTCGACGTTCCGACGTTTTGGTCAGCTTAATCGACCGGATCACCAGTGAAGTAGAAAATAGAGTGCCTAGAAATAGCACAGAAATGATGATGAAATGAATGGGCTAATATAATTTTGAAGTCACACATGGTTGTTGCTGTCATAAAGGATATTCTTATTTATTTTATGCACACACAGTCAGTTGTTCTAAAAGGTTTATATATTGATTTTATCAGTTGTTTTGTACAACAAAAAAGTATTCTTCATATATTTATTTTCCTCCTCAGAGAAACACTGCGGCAAACCTGCAACAAATGATAGAAATGTAGTAATAATGGGCAAGGCCACCAACCAGTATAATTACAGAGATAGGTTGGTGTATATGTGTAGGCCTGGCCTGTCACCCATATCTAAGAGAATTCTCACCTGTATGGAGAATGGAGAGTGGGATATAACACCAGGGTGTCAAGGTACTAATTTGTTACTTTCCATGATTCACATTCATTGTTTTCAAATTAAAAATGTCAATTCTACATCAATAAGATATTTCTTACATGAAAACATGAAATGGAAATATAAAAAAAAAATGTTGCTTCGTTGTATGACATTCACCAGAATACTATCTTTTGATGGTGCATTTGAACCACGAACAAGAAGTAAACAAGGCATTTACATTCAAAATGTCACCACCTGCCATTTGTTACAGATGCCAAACACCAACCGCCAAATGCAAAACACTAGCCCCCGTATGGCATTCACCAAGAAATTGGAGACTATAACAACATGTCACCACTTTTGTACATGTAAAAGCATGTGTATGATTTTCAACATTTACTTTTTACTTTAGCCCAGTGTAAGTTCAAGTGCAAGAATGGGGGAATATGTATCAAACAAAACAAATGTAAATGTCCACAGGGATTTGGAGGACGACATTGTGAAAAAGGTATTTCAGACTGCAATACATAATTGTGAAATAATTAGAAATTATAATAATGACTGTAAAGTGAATAAAAATTTATTATGCATGGTGTCCAAGAAAATAAGATATAGTATGCTCCATGGTAAATACAGTCAGCTCTGCCTTATATTGCAGCTTTTGTCGAATGGTTATATTCAAGGTTTATGTATTTTGCCCTGTAGTTAACACTGCTCTAATGTATTTTGCCCTCCTTATATTAAAGCTATATATATTTGGCCATATTCATATGGAAGCTATATGTATTTTCCCCTGTAGATCCTGCTATTCTATTGTATTTTGCCCTATTTGTATTGGTACTATGTGTATCTTGCCCTATTTATATTATAGCCATCTGCATTTTGCCCTGCCTTAACGGGGGAAGGTGTGTGGGTCCCTTCCAGTGCGAATGTAGGCCTGGATATATTGGTACAAGATGTGAAAGAGGTAGGAATAATTTTACTTTTTTATATTTTATATATAAAACAGTATTGGATAGGGTGACCCCAAAAATTGCAACCCATTTTGGAATAACTATTTGGAGTCACCCTGTAGAACACAATATGAAGAGACTTGAACTTGAAGCCAGAAAAGTGCCTTGGACTATGAATCCTTCTCTCCTGATACACTTGATCTTGTCACACCTTATTTAAATGTGTATGCTAAATTCAAAACTAATTTATAGGGTAAGCGTAAGTGTGAAACTTTGAAATATCAAATCTACAGTTTTTCACTTGGTGACATGTCAGCAAATAAGTTTGAGTCATGGCTCTAGCCTCTGTGAAAATTTGAACAAGTATTAAAAAGAGAAACCTGTTACTTTTGAGACACCCTGTAGACTTTACTGTGACTACTCAATACAACTGAACCTATTATTTCGAAAATTAAGATTTCTGTTTTTTATAGATGTCAGGTGGATTGAAAAATATTCACATATGCTCATATCAATTTTAGTTTCAAACTTCATTATATGATTGCAAACAGTATGGATAAGTTTACTTACTGAATGGGACTGTAACATTTATGAATATTAAAATCATTTCAGCTATATGCAGTAAAGAATGTCAACATGGTGGAATATGTACAAGGCCCAATAGGTGTCGCTGTCCCTATGGTTACTTGCCTCCTTTCTGCGAAACGTATGAACACATTTTCCTTTATCACAAACTACTTAATTAATAAAAGTTAATAAACATACAATTTCATTGGCTACTGAAGCTTCATCTTAACTCTTCAGATCTGTACTTTTTTCAATTTCAGACGATCTCACATAAGAAGACTATGGACGTAAGGAAACGAGAACCGCAGTACATGGTTACACACAGAGCACTACACAAATAGCAAGACTACACAAATATGTAAGACACTGGCTGAGAGGGACTTGTATCTAGGATATGCTTTGCCAATAATATGCCAAATTGTCGCTGCCTGGGAACAGCTACTTGACTGAGATACAATTTGACTGAAGAGATAACAAATGGACATGTATCTTCCAATGACAATGGTGCAATACTGACACATGTATCTTCCAATGACAATGGTGAAATACATGTATCATCCGATGACAAGTGTGCAATACTGGCACATGTATCTTCCAATGACAATGGTGAAATATATGTATCATCCAATGACAATGGTGAAATGCATGTATCGTCCAAAGACAATTGTGCAATACTGGCACATGTATCTTTCAATGACAATGGTGAAATACATGCATCGTCCAATGGCAATTGTGCAATACAAGTATCATCCAATGACAATTGTGCAATACTGGCATATGTATCTTCCAATGACAATGGTGAAATACATGTATCATCCAATGGCAATTGTGCAATACAAGCATCATCTAATGACAATTGTGTAGTACTGGTACATGTATCATCCAATGACAATGGTGAAATACATGTATCTTCCAATGACAATGGTGACATACATTATCATATGGCAATTGTGCAATACAAGCATCATCTAATGACAATTGTGTAGTACTGGTACATGTATCATCCAATGACAATGGTGAAATACATGTATCTTCCAATGACAATGGTGACATACATTATCATATGGCAATTGTGCAATACAAGCATCATCTAATGACAATTGTGTAGTAATGGTACATGTATCATCCAATGACAATGGTGAAATACATGTATCTTCCAATGACAATGGTGACATACATTATCATATGGCAATTGTGCAATACATGTATCATCAATGATGCAATGACACTGATGCAATACCAGAAAATGTCCAATGACACTTGTATTGTGAAAAGTGCTTTTTTACTTTTATTCATCGGTGTTTGATTGGGCTTAAATTTATCAAACTATAGTATCATATTCACGAAAATATGTTCAATGTATGGAAATCAATGGTAGTGTGTAACTTATGTTTATTTGTGTTCACATTCAATTACATGTGTATGTGCAAATAATAAGAGATATGAACATTATCATACAGTGTTCTCCACAGGATTTTTTCTCAAGTGGGTGCAAAATTCTCATTTTCACAATTTAGACAAAAATTGGTCAAATTATCCCAATTTTTCATAATTTTTCTCATTTTCAAGTGGGTGCAAATAGATTTTCAGATGGGTGCAAGCCTGTTTCTGAAATCTCAGGTGGGTGCTGCATTCACTTGCTTTGATGCTGGGGAGACCACTGTCATATTTGTTTAAGCCAAATTAGGCTAAATCAAAAGTAGAAAAAATATTATATGTAATGTGAATTGTTGAGATGACTTTGATGTATGAATATGCATGTAGATAATATTTTCTTACTATTTAATATATAATAGGCTTGTTGTAATATAATACTGTATATAACATGTTACATGATGCATTTTTACATAAAAACTTATGGTGTGATATTACATTTGATTTGTTTCATTAAACTGAGGACTTCTCGTTGTCACAGTTAATATTTTCATTTGTCCTATGATTATAGTTTTATCTGTTCAATAACAGCCAGTAATATTTCTGATTTTATGATGATCCATATGATCTTTTTCAAAAAATCATTTTATTTTTGATTATGATAAACCCAATAATATCAGATCATTTTGAGATTCATATTATAGCCAAGTAGATCTCAAATATCAACCCTTCATTTACATTGCTCACTCGAAATGATATCACACAAAATGATCTGATATTCTGTATACATTTCTAGTTATTTTGATCACATCATACCCCTTTATACCTGATTCAGTCTCTCTTTTGCTTATAAGGCCAAATTTTCCTTCCTAAGAACTTTACAAGAGAAACAACAACATAGAGAATGAAAATTACAATGAGTAAAACAAGTCCAATAATATCCAACAGGTAGTACTGACAGAAGCTAAGATTATTCATCCCCTGAGAGCGCAGATGATGGGCCCCTTTATGACGAAGGACATATTCAATCCAGTATATTGCCTTGTCGCTTGGATCCATGTCATTATCTGACAGAATCTTAGAGGCCTTCTCAGCATTAGCTTTATATGTTGCATTGCTGATCACATTCTTCATGGCCTTCAGTAGAATTTCACTTGTTAACCCCTCCACTCGTAACAGCTCCCCTGACTTCACACGATTCGCAAGTTTTTCACAGTTGTAGACTTGATCCAGGAAAAATGGTATGTTAACGGTAGGTTGGGCATAGTGGATAGTTTGAAAAGTGCTTGTCATTCCACATTGATGCACCACCAGTTTTATGTTCGGGTGGCTCATGAGGTCCTTTTGTGGGATCCATTTGTCAATGATAGTATTGGCACCTAGACCTTCTGGTTTATCTCCATCATAACTCCATATGACAGTTTGAGGCATTGCAGCGAATGCACGGGCAAACATTGCAGCTCTCGTGTCAGAAAGACGTCGAAATAGGGAACCAAAGCTAACCAGTATAACACCATGAGAGCCACTATTTTCTACGATGTCATTGTAATAAGCATCCAACTGCTTTGGTGGATCTAGAAAAAAGTCAGCAATCGAGATCACATGAGGCATAAATGGAGCTGGATAATGTAACACATTGTGCCTGTTCATCAAAATCAACGAAACTGTTTTGTAGAAATCAGGCAAATTCTCACAAGCACTTGGTTTGATGATCCGACTGTACTTCAAACAGATCTCCTTTGCTTTTCCAAAAGTTGTAATAGAAGACTTGTACAACTTGATATGCTCCCATGTGTTCCATAGTCTCTCCATGAAAGTCATGCTATCGCTATAGGGTTGACTTAAGTCTATTGGTATATAGGAGGGGTTAATTGGAGCCAGCAGTGATCCTTGTATAGAAAATGGTCCCCAATTTATATAGGCTATAACAGGAATATCAAACTGCGCTCCTAGGATTCTTGTAACGAATACGTATTCATCAGTTATTATCAAATCATACTTCACTTCAGTTAATCTCTTCCAAGCAGTTTGATCTTTTAAGGTAAGTTCTAAGTTGGAGAGAATTACAGGTCTGGTAGGTTCATTTTGCTGTGACATAGGCAGTCCAATCATATCATCCAACCAATTTTGATTTCCTGTTCCATTCAGGACTGGAGTTTTGTATGTAATGATATCATACTGTTCCATCATTTTCAAGTTGTTTTTCTCATTCATTTCATATAGCTCGTGTTTCTGTAGTAATTCAGACCATAATACACTGATATCATGCCCTTGTTTGTACATCAAATTGCACAGTTTTAACATATTTGTTACCCTGCTATTATATCCTAAGTCTAAGGGTGCAAATAGTAGTTTTGCTCCATGAATGCAAGATACACTCATAACAGAAGAACACAAAAATAGAAACAATGCCTTTGAATCCATAATTACTTTTCAAAACTAACAAGGACTAAATATGCTACAGAATTTCTTGGCATGATATATAATATTTGTGTACTGTAAGCATGGAATATTTTGAATTTCTATTTTTTGTCAAAAATGGTGAATTTAGGAGGGATCTTCTGGTACTTCCTGAATTTTAATAATGGATTGTGTTCATGGTGCTATATTTTGAAAAACATGTCACAATGAAAAAAATGTTTACGTTTCTGGCCATTCTGATTGTCTCAGTTATTGTTAAAATCTCACTGAAGAGGTTCATTGGGTAGGTCATCTAATGGGGCTATAAATCACAAAACTAATTAATTGCACTACCCAAAAAACTTACATTATTGATGTTTCGGCAACAACTGTGGGGAGCTCATGCTCAAGAACTGGAAGTTGAATAAAAATTCTGAACATGCCGAAACGCCAATAATGTATGATTTTTATGTAGTGTAGTAAGAATTAATTAGTTTTGTGAATTATTAAAATCATTTACTGCTCTGATATTATTGTATGTATGTCTTACGTGTTATAATATATACGATTCATTAGATGTTCAAATATAACTTGAATTAGTAACCCGGATCGATCAATTACTCAATCTGAATATTTTGCTTTAAATTTCTAGGTTTACAGTAGCGCTTGAACTTAGTACTCAAACCTTGAAGGAGATCAAGATGACTGTACTACTGATAAAAAACGTCGGTCCAAACAATAGATATCCTGATGAAAAAAGAAATTAGACTAAATGTATGATGCATCTACATTAGAAAATCAAAACTTTAAGGTTAAGTATTGATAATGATGAGGTAATAAATATCCTGGTTAAGGTGCTATGGAACTTAACAGGAAATGACAAAACAGGAAGTGACAATTTTTTTTGCATTTTTAGATATTTTTTGAATAAAGATAACAGAGTTCTGGTTTGACCTCCAGTCAATTTAACTATTTCCACATATCATTTACATGACCAGGATCACAATGTGCATGGTCAGAATGACCCTAAACATGATGAAATAACCTTTTTAGCCCTTTGAAAGTGTGACTGAAAAAAAGCTAAAAGTAGGAGCGTAGGGAAGGTCACTAAACAAAATCTTTTGAATTTTTCAGAAAATGTGCCCAATATATTGCTCTAAATGATACAATCTTTGAAAATTTGATATCATTCATAGAAAAAGAAAAAAAAATGAAAAAACTGATTTGAAAAGCGATCTATTTTCCTTTTTATGACTGCCATTTTTGTTTAAGACAATTTTCTAAAATTTCAAAGATTGTACTAGTTAGAGCATTATATTGGGCACATTTTCTGAAAAATTCAAAAGATTCTGCTCAGTGACTATCCCTACGCTCCTACTTTTAGCTTTTTTTCAGTCACACTTTCAAAGGGCTAAAAAGGTTATTTCATCATGTTTAGGGTCATTCTGACCATGCACATTGTGATCCTGGTCATGTAAATGATATGTGGAAATAGTTCAATTGACTGGAGGTCAAACCAGAACTCTGTTATTTTTATTCAAAAAATATCTAAAAATGCAAAAAAAAGTGTCACTTCCTGTTTTGTCATTTCCTGTTAAGTTCCATAGCACCTTAAGAGAACTTACTGAAAGGGCTGGGATGTATCATTGCTTTTTTGTATTGATAATGATGAGGTAATAAATATCCTGGTTAAGTGAACCTACTGAAAGGGCTGGGATGTACCATTACTTTTTGGTATTGATAATGATGAGGTAGTAAATATCCTGGTTAGGTGAACCTACTGAAAGGGCTGGGATGTACCATTACTTTTTGGTATTGATAATGATGAGGTAATAAATATCCTGGCTAAGTGAACCTACTGAAAGGGCTGGGATGTACCATTACTTTTTGGTATTGATAATGATGAGGTAATAAATATCCTGGTTAAGTGAACCTACTGAAAGGGCTGGGATGTACCATTACTTTTTGGTATTGATAATGATGAGGTAATAAATATCCTGGCTAAGTGAACCTACTGAAAGGGCTGGGATGTAATATTACTTTTTGGTATTGATAATGATGAGGTAATAAATATCCTGGTTAAGTGAACCTACTGAAAGGGCTGGGATGTACCATTACTTTTGGAGAGTGGAAGTGGACTGGGTGAGAACTATTCAACCTTATTATGCACTTTATATAAGTTGGTATGATTAAAGTCTATTCTCTATATGCTAACAACCAGAGTCTTGTTTCAAGACTCTGAACCCCCCCCCCCCCTTTGTTCAATGGGATTAGAATAATGGAAACTTTAATAATGTGCCAAATAATCGGAAGCTTTACTATTTAAGGTCTTAAAATATATATATAAATTGTTAATTATATCAATAAGCTAATAAGTAAGATTCAATTTATAGGCATTTTTGCCTGTTAATCACTCATGGATGATAATGTCAGGTATATCAAATGAAATACATGAAACATGAATATAATTCATGTTCTAGTAGTTAAAAAGTTTTACGAACAAAAAACAAGAACAAATTGATAAAACAGAAAAAATTGCACATCAAATACAAAATACAAAACTCCTTCTCCAATTACATATGACAAACTGAATTTTAAACGAACATCTGCACATCTGCATAAAGCCTGTAGTCATAGATACAAATGAAAAAGCAAGAGTCCAATACGAAATTATCACCAGTAGACATGACAATGTTGCATCAATAACATAAGGTATTTAGTAAACAAAATAAACAGAATGGAGGTTAAATTACTTTAATAATAGATGAACAAATGTGAACACCATCACAAAAATGCTATTATAGAATAAGCAAACACAGGAATAAGTAAAGTGTCTCTTTGGCTCTCGATCAGTACTGATACAAAGACACTTTAACAAACAATGGTGAAATAAGCACAACCACTCTATTTGGGTTTCAAGTTAAGCAATTTCAGGTTCAGGATGCGGTTTATAATTTGGATTTGTTTACTAGCTACAGCAGTCAAGTCTACAGATGGTAAGTCAGTCTGGCTTCTAGGCCCTTATTGATAAAATGCAAAAAAATATTTTTATGACTTTTTCCTGAAGGATTTTTGTCTAGAAATAAGGAATATAGGGACGGATAATATCATATCTATTTAAGACCCTTTACAAAGCATAACTTAACATGATGATGCTTCAATATCCATTGCTTTACATACATTTTAACTTGATATTTGTATTATAAAGGGATACCTGACAAAAATGACTGCAATGTATGCACAAGTGCAGACAACAAAATAGCTCTATGCTGTAATGCCTGCTATGAGAAGTCTGATAGTGATAAATGCTTCACAACTGAAACATTGGTAAATATTGACAAAAGTCTCAGCATCTCTACCTAATTTTGAAATTTAGAAGTTTGTACAGGGTGTCAAATAAATATGTTCTCCCCACATAACTTTTTTGTCTACATGATATCTGTTTTTTCCTTGGCACATCAAAATTAGGCCTCATGGAGCACCTCCACAAGAGGTTTCAGATGACTAGCTGAACTAGATGCACTTTTATGCACAAAAGTTCATACTTTTGAAATTAAGGGCTGCCCTGTCAACCCTCACGCATTTGCTGGAAAAATAGAAATCACGCATCAATTTAGCGTGTATGATCAAATATCACGCAAATCACGCATTTTGTTGATATTTTTAAAAATCGTTTTTTGTGAAATGCCGACACGGTAAAATACCGAACGATGAAAAAATGCGAACCTATTCCGTTCGGTCTTTGCACGCGATTGCCGTTTGTGTCATGCATTTTGTACAAAATATGTGTTTATATCACGCATTTGTTTCGAAAAAAATTACACCTACCCCCCTTGAACAGCGAGCGTTAACGAGCTGGAAAAAATTCAGGTGTCCAAAATGTGTTCACTGAAGCTGTCCAAAGTTTGAAGGAAGGTGTTCAACATTTGGAAGTCACTCATGCTAGACGGTCCCAAGTTGACAGCCCTGTAAGGGGGAGAACATATTAATAGGACACCCTGTATACATTTATTTCAATCTGTGGAAAATAATTTTCTTCCTCTGTAATCCAAAGGCAGTACATCCTTTCTCTGCGGTCACTGGTTATAAGGATATTTGTGGAGAATGTGGAGCAGCTAATCAACCAGGAGTTACATGTCATTCTAAACTCTTCCCAGGGTGCAATGGATGCCAGGGCTATACAATAGCTTTAAAAAGGTATATAATATCAAAACATAAAAATGAATAACCTTACATTCATTCCATCAGATTAAAATTGGTTTCCAATAATTGTAAATACATACAAGGGTTGATCCAAAACTTCTGCAACATTTGCCCTAAAAATCTGATCAATATTTCTCATAAAATGGGCTGAGTCATCACCTATACAGCACATCTAGTTTCCTTTTTCTATATAATTCATGTTCTAACTTTTGGGTCAATCCTCGTATAATAACTACAGTAGTGTACTTTAGATGCAGCAGGTTCAATACCCAAGAGAGTCCTGAATGCAGCAAAATATTCTATGACTGTATGAACAAAGCATGTTTCATTGCAAGAGGCCAACTACCTTCAACAGAGTAAGCATAATCATTGAATACAATTACATCTATATTATATACAGTATACAATTATAAATCATGCATAAGATACCACTAAGATGCAATTACAAAAGTGTAACAATTGTTACAGATTAAATCCTGATGTCTATACCAATGCCAAACACAAGTCACAAAAATTGGGCCTATAGCAATGTCAATATGTCACCATTTCATGGCGGTGATATAAAAAAAAGTCTTACATAATGTACAAAGATTACATTAAATGTTAATGCTAGAAAGAGATGATTCCGCAATATTTTCAAGGATGACCTTCTTAATATTTATATACCTATTTTGGTTCATACACAAGGAAATATGTCATTTATATTTCAGGGCTGACCTTGGCAAAGTTTGCAATGATTTTATATGTGACAAAGATGAAGATGTGAGCTCTTGCGCTGTTGACTGTAATAGTGATGATCTGCCATGTAAACCACCCCCATCCCTCATAGAAGATAGTCAGTACTACACTCTATATTATTTATTTATATATTATATAGCATGAACATGCAGATAGGTTCATAATCATTCAAATCTCAGTGCAAGCCTGTTTTGGAAGTAAATATTATATGTTCAGCAAACTCCATGTATTTGTCAAACATCTCTGCACGTTGCATTTGAAGTGCAAAGTTTTTCATCATTCTAAGCACTTTTTAAGTGATTTTGGCCATTTTTGGACCAAAATTGTCAAAAGTGAACCCCTCCCTGGAATTTTTCAAAAAGTGAACCCCCCTTGGTAAATCCTGGATACGGTCCTGAAGTGTATGTAGTTAATATACTAAGATTATCTGACATGTACCACATATGCAAATGCACTTTCGTTTAACCAAATACCCCTATGACCAAAACATTTGACCAATCAGACAACAGTTACTCAATGCATAGGTATTTTTTCAAACGCTATGAGAGTATCGACGAGAAAAATTGAAAATCAAGCAATTTTGAGTGAACTTATTGAACAACCTCGTATGTATGACATAAACTTGAAACATGGAATAAAGTAATATGTATAATGCTAGGTCCATGCATAATGTGCAAGAATGGTGGAACATTAGATGTTTCCTGTGGCTTTTGTACATGCCCTGAGGGATACACAGGCATTGACTGTGCAGCTGTCACAGGTAGTATTAAAGGGAATATTTCCCTAAATGCTGTTATTGATGATAATTTATTGTTTTATCAAATGTTCATTGTCACATTTGCGACTGTTAGAACAAACCATTTTTTGTAATATAATCATGTTTTTCTACTTGTAAACTAATATTCAATGTATTCGATTAACATGCATTACTGTCCAGCAAAACTTCTGTCCAATTTTGAGGTTATGTCTCACTGTTTCTTTATTGTTTATTAAGAGGTGAATGCAACAATCACGGGAGACCCCCATGTTATCCAGTACATTTCAAACATCCAAGAGCAGTTGTGTTATGATGCATATGGACAGGGGGGATTGAAATACAAGTTCTTTTCTCAACCAGACATAGGTGAGGAAACATTTTGTGGATTTGAGGGTTTTGCTCTTTAACCTCTTGAATACCCAGAATGACAGACGGATATTTTTAACTCAAATAAAATTCAATGGGAACCCAGGACAACAGATAAATTTGTCACAGAATTTCTCACTAAAACTGCTCTAATTCTGACAATCTTTAATGATATACACATGTTATGTTTTAAATGTATGTAATGGGTCTAATATGTTTACTATTCTTATGAAATCAAAATCAAATATTGTGTATTTAGATGTAAATTTTTAAAAAACTGGCAAAAATGAAAAACGCTCTGGTTTCAAACCCTTTTAGAGGCTAATATTGAAGAGTTTAAATGGCTATCACTAAATTCATTTTTTCTATTTCATTTTGAACTGCTTTAGTATTGATATTTGAGGTCAATCCCTAAACTTAAGCAGTGATTACTTCAGTATTGATTCAATTGGGCCTTGGATTACTTGACAGGTAGAAATTGCCTTGGATAAGTTCAGATTTGAAAGGAAATGAAAAATATTATGACCATCTATATATTTCTTAATTTGGCGTGCATTCCTACATCATTATTGGTTAGAAACAATGTCCCAGAGGAAGCTGAATGACTCATTCAACTTGAGAGGGAAAAAGATTCACTTGAAGATACAAATGTAAAAAATCAAAAAATCAATTAAATTTAATGTCTGATCAATTATAATTTCAGTGTAGTACATTTTTATAAGCTAATAATTAATACCTTCAAAGCACATAACTGTCATATTTCAATCTGATACGATTATTGATGATAATGAAAATATTAAACATAGACATATTTAAAGTATTGCACCAGAACAGGCTGGAAGCATTTTAAGGTACATTTGATGACTTTTAAATCTCGCTTATACCTAAGCCCAAATAAAATGATAAAGAGATTTGTATGTATCCCATGTGTGACATCATCATTTTTAAAAATATATATCTACATAATCATATGAATGTTTTCAATGCTGCATAGTGATCTGTATTTGATTATGGTTGAAGCATGAGTGGACGGATTTGTATTACAACTACAGCACATAATAACAGCAATAAAAAGCAATACTTGCATTGCAGTTCAGACTCTTACACAAGACAAAATAAATGAATGATTTCAATTAAATGGTAAAGTGAAGCGACACAGTTGTAAATTCTCCATAATTCAAATTCAAGGAGCTTAGTACAAAAGAACAGTACAGTATATTAGAAACATCTGTATCGAATTGACTTTCAAATATATTTTGAAGATGTGATAGGTTGATAATGAGGCATCCGGTTTAGAGCATATTTAGATAATAGTCCTTCTTCATGTTGCTAATCATTATTCATTCTGTAATACACAGCTATTAAAATGCCTATGTATCATTGAGGCATGCATGTTATGAAACCATCTCAAATTGAACTAATTTGTGAGTCTTGTGGCCTATTAATCATAGATCAAGCAAAACAATATTTACACTCTCAAATATTTTCAATAAAATAATGAATCATCAAAATCATAAGGCATTAAAACATGACAAAATGTCACCACATGGTTACAATTTAGTGTCACGCCAAATCTAAAAGATTGTTGGTGAGAAACATTGGCTATATGGTGGTGACATAAAAATGCAAGCAGCGCATGCTGTTTGCATTTAATTGAAAAGATTTCCTAATATGAAATAATAATAACTGAATTACAAGAACACAAATGTGTACAAAATGTCCCCACCAAGTGGTGATCCCGTGAAATGGTTATCCTGAAAATGAGTAGACTTAGACTTTACCAACACAATTTGAGGACGGAAAATCCAAAGTGGCCACCTTAAAATTTACCCAGAATGCCAAAAATTTAGTCAGTTCTAGATTTTCATACTAAGAACCACCCCTGAAAATTTGAAATTGATCCGTCACACAGTAAACCAGAAAACATGTAAACAAGACTTTACAGACAAGATTTCAGGATGAAAAATCCAAAATGGCTGCCTTGACATTTACCAAGAATGTCAAAAAACTAATCTGTTTGTAGATTTTCATACTAAGAATCATCCCTGAAAATATGAAATTGATCTATCAAACCGTTCTCCTAAAAACGCGTAGACAAGACTTTACAGGCAAGATTTTAAGACGGAAAATCCAAAATGGCTGCCTTGACATTTACCCAGAATGCAAAAAAACTAATCAGTTCTAGATTTTCATACTAAGAATCATTCCTGAAAATTTGAAATTGATCTACGAAACAGTTCACCTGAAAACGAGTAGACAAGACTTTACAGACAAGATTTTAGGACGGAAAATCCAAAATGGCTGCCTTGACATTTACCCAGAATGCCAAAAAACTGATGAGATCTAGATTTTTATACTAAGAATCATCCCTGAAAATTTGAAATTGATCCACCAAACGGTTCACCTGAAAACGCGCAGACAAGACTTCACAGACAAGATTTTAGGACCGAAAAATCCAAAATGGCCGACAATAAAAAAGTCCTTATGAGTTTTTGCTGATTTCTTTTTACAAAATTATCACATATAACTACTGTTAACAATAAAGTAGGCTTTTACAGCAAAGTACATCTGAAATTATTTATAAAGCTACTAAATAGTTAAAGTATGAAAACTCAAAAACACCATTCAATATGATACAAAGTATTATCGCGCTCTAACTTTTCTTAAGACATTCAAAATGGCTGACATGACTGAGCTAGCAGGTCCAAAACCTAATCAGATCTAGAATGAAGTGAGCTGAACAAGATGTTAAAGTTTTAAAAGCAACTGTGAAGCAGTTTTTCTTAAAGTTTGCAGACAAGGATTTTAGCATTCGACTTCAAAATGGCCGACAGGAAGTAGGTATCGAGTTAATTTTTTTTCATCCACATCTGTATGCACTCATAAGTTATCCCTGAAAATTTGAAGGTGATATCTGTAGCGGTTTTGGAGAAAACTGCCGGACGTACGGACAGACGGACAGACAGACGGACAGACAGACGGACAGACAGACGGACGCGCCTAGGCCGACAATATGGCCCAACACTATGTGGTGGGGACATAAAAAGTTGTTTATGGATATATCTAGTCGAGTAAAGTCAAGGCTAGCTGGAATTCCACTGCATTCAACCTTCTGAAAAAGTAGGGACACATCACGTCACCCAAACTATGAATTGCTTAATCCTTCCTCCAAACTGAAGATGAAGATCTCTTTCAAGTCATTAATTATACAAAGCATGTGAAGCAATGTACCATATCTACAGACACACCTTTAAGCAATTGTCCAGAATCAAGGAGTCAATCATAATATCATCTGCAAAAACTGAACTATAAATTGTAAAGAACTGCTAGCTTTCAATAGGACTTTGTCAATAGGACTTTGCAGGTTTAGTGTTTAGAAGGAAGATAGTACATTGCACTGGTCATGTATTTCTGCTATGTTTCTGTATTGTATTCATTTACAGGTTTGATAGTTAATGCAAGATTGAAGACAACAGATGGTGATAATGAGAGCAAACTTATATCACATCTTCATATCACAACAAATGATGTTATAATACAAGTCAACCTTGACGATGTTACTATAAACAACAAGAAATTACAGTGGCAAACGCAAGATGAAGTATTTGGGACAGGAAGTGAAACTACTAAAATAACAACAACTTTTACAACAATGGTTGTTCAAATCAATGAACGAATTGAAGTCGCAGTTACCAAGAAATATAACCATTTGGATTTTTTCCTGAAATGGCCTATTGAGTTAACAGCAAACACAAATGGTATTTTAGGTAAGAAAACACTATTTGATGCTTGATCAATTAACTCTCTCAAACTCAATGCAATCTTTTTGAACTTTAATAGAGATATGTAGCTTAATGTCTGCCCTTGTACTATTGCTAATAGTCAAAATGAATCCATCACACAGTTTGCCGGTAGAGCACAGACAAAAATAGAGACACCATTGCTTTCCATTAGCCTGCCCCCACCTACCTCCTAGGCTGACCAAAATAACATATACCTTATATATACATACAGTATGATACAATAAAAATTATCATCTGGTCTATTCTAAAACTGACTCATATCTAACTCGCCAATAAGCCTACGGAATGTCTATGGTTGCTTAAATATTTCAGGATGGGTGGCAAACAATGTAGAGACATTAACACAAGAACCACACCCAAACACGTACGTACACCTGAGTACAGGGAAGAATGTAAATGTCGGCAAACAAACAAAATGCTTCAGAGTTGGATACAGCCAAAGAAAAAGCTTCATTAACATGGATGACTTCTTAGTGTCAAAATAATACAATGATATGCAACAATTTACCATTCAGTAGTATACATGTAATTCAAGGTTTAGTAATTCAAGTTCTGATTTTATTATAAGTTGAAGATTTTAATATATTGATGAATAAAGTACTTACAGGGTGATCAATAAATAAGGTAAAAGTATCTGGCATTTTGTAAATATTGGTCCAAACATCCTGAAATTTGGTCAGAATATACCTTGTACATTTCTAAATAAAAACATATAAATACATAACTTCTGCCATCTGATTTGTTAATATTATAGTTACTATGGCAACTGGAGTCGGGGGTACCCGGGGCAATTTCATGGCGTCCAATTTGAACAAATAATGATAAAAAGCACATCTTTTTCAACCTTAAAAGAAATAAATGTGGGTGCCAGCATTAATTGTTTTACTACTTTGTTTACACGCTGTTACATATTTTCTTGCAAATTTTGATGTCACAGAAAAAAATAATATATAATGAAAACTGATGTGATCATAGAAAGTCTATGACACAGGTCAATGATGAAAAACAATACCCACAAGAGATTTCATGAGAGAAAAGAGGAAGAAGCTAAGACTAAGAGGCCTGAAAAACGTTTCACATTGCACTGGGATAATGCTCTGTCTCACAATGCTAATCTCACGGTACAAACCATTGAAGCACTTGGTTTCCCACTGTTAGGTAATGTACTATACTCTCCTGACTTGTCCCCTTATGATTTTACCGTCTTGGTGAGCTGAAGAGGGAGTTGAGAGAGTTTCTCATGGGATGACTTGAAGCCAGCTGTCTTGAAAATGTGCAGACTATGGGGAAATGGGTTAAAAAGGTGTTCAAAGACTGGAGTAGAAGACATGAACTATTGTTAAAAACAAAGGACATTAAGTAGCAGTTATGAAGTATGAAATAAGAATATGATATGCCATTTTAATTGTGATTTGAAATATATTATCAAAAGTGTTTCGACTGAAAATTTAGTTTTTTGATAGTTGCCCCGGGTCTTCATGCTTTCTGTTGCTATGGCAACTATAACTTCAAACTATCACATCAATTTGATCTGTAACTTAATATATCAATTCAATAATGTTTGAACATTATTCTGTGCAAATTCTATGAGGATTGGGTAAAATCTGAAGAAATGCCAGATACTTTTACCTTATTTATTGATCACCCTGTATACACTATTAAACATACTGGTACCTGTAATTTGCTTTTCATCGTCATTTGAAAGCCGCAGATATTCAGTTGTACTCAATGGGTTAGAACTTGCATTTTATTGAGATTTGAAATAAAACATGGAAGTGATCTTACCTCATACTTGATGTTTTGATCTATCATGCACCTCTGCTTCATGATGTAGTATTTCAGCCATGGCCTGTGAGACCAATAGCTTCACGTCCTTCAGTTCTTTGCTCTTCACTACAATAATCCTACAGAAAATCAAAAAATACAATGTTGAAAACAGAAATTACTCTTACATTGAGCCTCGGGTTACACTCCACTCCTAAAATCTATTTCTTTTTTCAAGATGGTAACACCCACCAAAACAAGACCTTAAAGTAGATTAGTAAGGGGCACACAAGGACTTGATGCATGACTAAATAGAAAAATACCTAAACATGATACTGCACCTATGAAAACAAATTCAGCTTACATGTACTACCAAATTATCACATTTCAGATGATGAGTCATCATTGAGAGTGAGGTATCGATAGATGACAAAACTTATGAATGTTTATCTCAAATGTTGATATTTAACCTGGAGTAATTATGATTTTTGAGTTGACCTCCATTTCTTCCACAAGTTGGTCCAATAGAACGCAATGGAGTTGAATAAGAAATGTGATTTATTAATACATGTACACATACTGTTATAGCTATGAACAATGATGGACTTTTTTTCTTTTTTTGAGTTAACATTTTTTAGACATTTGCATTTGATGCTTACAAACACATACATACATAAAGTTAAAGTATGATACAGACACAGTGCATCTTCATATACATTTTGGACATTTAAGAGTTGGCTTACTTGAAGAAAGACTGTTGCTAGGTTACTGATGCGCTTATCTGGACTTGTGGATAGCTGAGTCATGTGAGCCACTACAGGAGGACTTGTGATTTCTGAAAAACATAGAAATTAATGAAAAACAATAGAATAAATATAGAATATTTTTCCTTTCAGAATAGAAAAAATGTCCAACAGTATACTGTATCTACTATGAAGAGGAGGAAATAACCAAAAATTCAAAGGTGAACCTATCAGTATGAAAAGATGAATGTAGAGATTCATCTTTACATGAAGACAGGTTCATCTTTGAATTCTGGGTAACTCCCTTCTTCAAACTATGATTAAGAACAAAAAGCATAAAGTGTGTTAAATGGGGACATGGAAATTCTAAAGAAAATATTGAATAAAGTGAATGCTGGGTATCTTTACATACTCCTGAGTTATGTTTTCAACTTACTCTGAGAACTACAAAATGTACAGATATCCAACTCCACTTCATGCAATATTTGTGTCTTACCAGGTTTTGATTGTGGAGTCACGAGATACATCAGGGAGGTTATCGCTGACATCACTGTATCTTCATCATCACTGAAACATATCAAATATTGAGAATATTTCTGTCTAACCAAAATTCTAGTATGTTTGACAGTCTGATCACTTTCTTTTATTTTCCAACACTATTGATAATATTAAACTTTCATATATTACACAAAAGCTTTATATAAGCCATCATAACTAAAGTAAGATTAAATATTGTTATGAACATGAATACCTGACCAAACACTGCTTCAGAAGGTGGACTCCATCATTCTTTAAGATATACTCTTTGTTTTCTTTATCTGGAAATATAGTTGTAATACTACTGCCTTATATACAGTAACAATATAACTACATGATGGGAATATCTGATATTGGTAGACCCCTGGAACAGCTGACATTATGAGAATTATATCAAAACTTTCTTCAGGATGAGTTGAGGCTATTTGCTCTTTACAGATTCCCTGTAAAGTAGTGCGAGACTCTAACTGCAGTCTGAAGCCTTTACAGCTAATCTTTTCACAGAACTATCACAGTTGGTATTGTTACATATAATCAACCTGAGGAACCAAATGTCAAAATGGTCAATCTTTACTGATCTGATATAATCAATCAAATGACAAATGGAATCATCTCTAACTTACCAAGACAAATATTACATATACCTCCAGCAGCAAACTGCACAAGTTTTGTATTGTTCTCTGTGAGATTGTCTGAAAGAAAATATTCAAATAACAATATTCTATGAAATATATAAAATGTGAAATTTATAGGCTGACATTCCAGTTCCAGGCCTAGATGCTTTCATATATTTCAAAATTATTACAAACTAAGGTGTTTACATCTATTGTTACTTTTACTCATGGGCTTTCAAGAGAGTAGATAAAAGATTTTCAACATTTTGCCTATGCTGTTAGAAATTGCATTGAATGAAACCACTACGTGTACTGGTATATTTATATGGGAATCCATCTATGTCAATTTACACAAAATTTATGATGATGCATACCCAAAAATAGGTCAATCACTCCCAGTCGTCTCAGAAAATCATAGTTGATGGGGTCGTATGAGAAATTAGCCAGATTAGCAAGAACTTCTTCCTTTGCACCTAAAATAATAACCAAAGATATTAACAGAAAGATTTTTTCAGTATGCATGTGTATAAGTGACACAGTCCAATAGATTATCCAAGACCTAATAGGTATGAAAACTTGCAAATGCCAATTCCAAGATACGGAACAAGATATGGAAAAACCTATGGTTTACAAAAAAGACCAACCCCTCCAACTGGTCAATGTTTTCAACAGGTAGCCACAAAAGAGGGCAAGAGGAAACCAGAACAACGGCAACGCCAAAGAGTAGCAAATCCCATCAAACAGAAATGGCTGGCTTTTTTCCAAACGAAATATATAGCAAATATCATAAAACAACACACATAAGAAAGGCCACCATTTTCAAAATGGTTGCTCACTAGCCAAGTTGCCATTCAGAAAAAGTAATATGCTTTTAAGTAGCCACCTATAAAAAAAATTTAAAAATCACACACATGTACTTGTAAATGGTCGCCATTTTTTTAAAATGGCCACCTTCTACCCAAAATGTCATTAGACAGTATGCAATGCTTATGAGTATTCATATATCAAATATGAACAAAATCGCTCTACTACTTTTTGAAAATGTAAAATAACACACATAAAAATGGTGGTTGTTTTTCAAAACGGCCGACTACTCCCCAAAGTTTTATTAGACAATGTGCCATGCTTAAAGTATTCACATATTAAATATTAACAAAATCGCTCTACTACTTTTTGAGTTATAGTAAAAAATGTAAAATAACACATGTAAAAATGGCGGCCATTTTTCAAAATGGCTGCCTAGTACCCAAAATGTGATTAGACATTGTGCCATGCTTAAAGTATTCACATACCAAATTTGAACAAAACCGCTCCACTACTTTTTGAGTTACAGTAAAAAATGTTAAATAACACACGTAAAAATGGCGGCCATCTACTACCCAAAATGTCATTAGACATTGTGCCATGCTTAAAATATTCACATACCAAATATGAACAAAATCGCTCCACTACTTTTGAAGTTACAGCAAAAATCGTTAAATGACGTGCAAAGGCAGCCATTTTACAAGATGGCTGCCATGTATTTCTTCTATATTTACATTTCTAGCTTAATCAATGTCCTATATAACTTTTTTACATTTAAAACATATCGCTATTACAGTTTTATATGCAGTACCTAAATTACTGTAAAATCGGCACTAAAATGGCCGCCATTTTTAAACAAGTGGCCATTTTGAAAATCGGCTTTCGAGCAGAACTTCTACTCCTATTGGGTATATGTGTACAAAATATGAACAAAATCGGGCCAATGGTATTTGAGTTATTGCCCGGACGGACGAAATTGTTAATATAATGTAGAGGAGACTTTCTATATGTTTAAATTGAGAAAAACAAGATCCTCTTTTTAGAAAATAAGGCTTACATTTTTTAAGAAGTGCCATGGAAGTGCCAAGGTGTTTCAAAATGTCCAACATCAACTTCATGTTTATTTTGAAGTACATTAAGAGCGTGATCGAATGAGGTTACATCAGGCAGACTTGCCAACCTAAAATGAAAATTTTTCGGGAGATTTAAAAAAAATTGCTGTACTTTTACGGGAGTTTTTTTCAAAATCCGGTAGTTTTTGCGGGAGTTTTTTGAGAAAAAGCGGGAGTTTTTACGGGAGATTTTTCGAAATACGGGAGATTTAAAAAAATTGGAGCTTTTGCGGTAAATTTTGAAAAAAACAGGAGTTTCTAGGGGAGATTTTGAAAAAACTGGAGTTTTTACGGGAGATTTTTTAAAAAGGGTATTTTTCGCGGTAAATTAAAAAAACGTGACTTTTTTACGGAAGATTTCAGAAAAAACGGGAGTTTTTGCGGTAGGTTCTGAAAAACGGGAGTTTTTACGGTAGGTTTTGAAAAACGGGAGTTTTTGCGGTAGATTTTTAAAAAAAACAGAAGTTTTTACGGTAGATTTCTGAAAAAACGGGAGTTTTTACGGTAGATTTCTGAAAAAACGGGAGTTTTTACTGTAGATTTCTGAAAAACTGGTGTTTTTACGGTAGATTTCGAGAAAACTGGAGTTTTTACGGTAGATTTCTGAAAAACAGGAGTTTTTACTTTCGATTTTGAAAAAAACGGGAGTTTTTACTTTAGATTTTGAAAAAAACAGGAGTTTTTACGGTAGATTTTGAAAGAACGGGAGTTTTTACTGTAGATTTCGGAAAAACGGGAGATCTTACGGTAGGTTTCTGAAAAAACGGGTGTTTTTACGGTAGATTTTGAAAAAAACGTGAGTTTTTACTGTAGATTTCTGAAAAAACGGTAGAAACGAATTGATCAAAGCTAAGTAAAATGTATATGTGGCGTTCACTATTATGCTAAGGGCAATCTGCATGAGGTTCCATTTTTAGGTTCGGTTTTTCGCGCATGAGCATTAAATCCAGCGATTTAATTGGTTGAAATTATTATGACGCATGCGCAGTTAATAAATAAATTAGAACTTATAATCTAAGATAGATTTCACTTACGTTCATTATTTCACAGCAGTCCCTACCCAAGATGCGCCTTATATTGCGGGAATATTTTGTTTAGCGCCATATAAAAACAAAATGTATTCTCCCGACAGAAGTATGACAGAATATGAACTGGCCCCCGTTTGTGGACATTTGGTGTGCAAACTTATACCGAACTGATCGCAGAAAAGCAATTTGAATCCAATGGGAATGAAGTACTTTTAAGTTATTTATGAAAGTATCGATAGTGAACCATGGGAGCCAATCCTTCTTGGAGTAAAAGAAAGAAGCGTGCCTGCAAAGGACAAGGTGCAATTATTGGCATATATCCCTATGGTCAAAATGAATCATTCGTAGGTGTAACATGAAGAATAAAATGTCATATAATACTTTGGAAAATATTAAAGTGCTCGGACACACATAAGCTGAGATAGGGATCATTTCGTTCAGTAAGGTTGTATTGACTTACATGGGGCTGTGCACCATTGACTTAACATGAGGATATCAGCAGATCCCAATAGAGGCCATTGGTTTCAATTGATTATCACAGAAATACCAAAAATACACTATGACCTGAATCGATTGCAAACTTAATAATTTCACAATACGACACAAATGGTTTATCTCATCAAATGTGCAAATATGAGGTTTGCAATCGATTCAGGTCATACTTAAAATTAAAAGATTGTACATTTTTTCATCATTTTTTTCCCTACAAAATGGCTATAGAAAAATGCTCCAAAAACAACTTTTACACTTATCACATACCATACAAGTTTGTAAAACCAAAGATTATACTATTATATTTCATTATGTAGTAACATATTTGGATAAGATGCAGGGATGCCTAGGATGTAAATGGATTTTGACGGACACAAAAATACTTCCTGGTTTGGAATCTATGCCTCTACACTTCATGATTGAATTATGACCCTAATAAGTGGCCTATACATCAATACAGTGCTGAATATAGGTCAACAAGATACTAGTGTGCATATAAATGTAATAATTGAAGCAGAATACTTATTTTGAAAAATCAGATGAATTATTTTTTTCCCATGGGGAGATCCCAATGGCGGGTGTATAAGGTCCTTTGTCAAATTCCTTTTAAATACGGTAGATTTCGACAGCAAAAAAACGGAGATTTTACGGGAGTTATACCAAGAATATGGGAGATTTTACGGGAGCTATACCAGAAAACGGGAGATTTTACAGGAGTTATACCAAGAATACGGGAGATTTTACGGGAGTTAAACCAGAATACGGGAGATTTTACGGGAGATTTCAGCAAAAATATGGGAGATTTTACGGCCATATTTTTTAAAAAAATTACAGGGTTTTTAGTAGAAATACGGTACGGGAGTTTACGGGAGTTTTTACGGGAGAAAACGGTACGGGAGTTTGGTATTTTTTACGGAAAAACCAAAAATTTACGGGAGATTCCCGTAAAAAAACGGGAAGTTGGCAAGTCTGCATCAGGTATCGTTTTGTATTGTATTTCATTTCATCTCATTTCGGTAAAATGTGTAATAAACGTTGCTAGAGACTAAAGATTTTTTAATCCTAGATAAATATTTTTAAAACATACTAAAGATACCTCACTCACTCAGTAGTGCTTTTGATGTACTAGGAAATAATTCCATGATTTATTTAATTTTGTACAAACAAGAAAATGCATATCTACTTTCACTCTTTGTTTCTTGAAATTCGTTCACTAGGGCTTGCAGATAGCTCAATCGTCCGATGCCATATGGTCCGGTTTTCTTATCGAGATATTCCTTCGTGCTAAACATACTCAAAATCTGAATAAAACAGCAATAACAAGTAATTTTTGTCAAATCACCCGCATTTCAGAAACTAAGCATCAGATTACCGAACGTATATTGACCGACCGGAAGTTGAGTTGCAAATACTACAAAAGCAAACAACAAACAGTTTATACTTTTTGATTTAGGAAATGAATAAATATAGCACATTTTAGCCAATTGTTCGTTAGAATTTTATTTTGTTTTGGTTGGAAGCTAGTCAATCTGACTAAATTGAATAGAAAAATTAAAGATTATAAATGAACCGTAGTGACGTTTAGACTTTTACTGCAACAAACATGGCTGCAAAAATCTCAAAAAACCTCTTGGCAAAAATTCGCACTTTTACTCATATAAGAGCTTACGTGAGTATGTTTTGAACTATACATAATTTGAGATATATCTCATAAAACCATGGCAAACGGGGATGACTGTCAAATTTGGGAAGCATTTTTAGTAAAGTCTGATTTTCCCAACGTGCTACAAGATCCTGTGACAATGATCAGACTTTTTTTGGATTTTTTGGAAATCCTAGCCAAACCTTCTGACCTTACCTTCTTCTAAGGCCACTATATCCACAGGGGCTTGTCTCGAGGCGTCGGGCAAGCCCTCCGATGAGTCTACTGCTTATTAATAGTATTAAGGGTGGTCGGTTTTGATGCTACCTGAAATTTGTAGAAAATGATTGTTAGATATATCAAGTAAAAATATATGGAATCCTTTCAATAATCGACATGCTGATTCAAACAACACTAAAGAGTAAACTTACCTAAAATGGTAGCAATCCATCCACTTGTTGCTGAGAAATCTGAATAATTTGTTAAGAAGTGATTACACTGCAAGTACCGAATTTTTTTGCAGCCAAATTATTACCTCCAGAGTCGATTTCTTCCCCAAGACACGTCCACTGTTAAAAATTGGTAGTTCCTAGAGTTCTTTGTTTCCTTAGGTTCATTCCCGTATGTTATTTTTAACGAAGGAGAGCCTATAACGACTGCTATACGCAAAAAGATGCATGAAATTAAGTTTCGAAACTGAAAGTTGAAAAATGGCGACTTTCCCGTGTTCTATGCGCAGGTGCGTTCAATCCAGCAATTTGATTAGTTCATATTATATGAACGCATGCGCAATAACTACACATATATTTTTAGATAGATGTCACTTGCGTTCATTATTTCACAGCAATCCCTTCCCATGATGCACCTAATATTGCTGAAATTTTTTCCTTTAGTGATAAAACAAATAACTCTCATCTTCGAAATACGTTTTCCATTCCTTGGCAATAATCTTTCATTTGGTATCTAAGTATAACCGAACCAACCGCCGAAAAGTAATTCGAATCCTTCTGAATTGTGGGAATGAAGTACTTTCATTTTTGCGCATGCGCATAGAACACGGGAAAGTCGCCATTTTTCAACTTTCAGTTTCGAAACTTAATTTCATGCATCTTTTTGCGTATAGCAGTCGTTATAGGCTCTCCTTCGTTAAAAATAACATACGGGAATGAACCTAAGGAAACAAAGAACTCTAGGAACTACCAATTTTTAACAGTGGACGTGTCTTGGGGAAGAAATCGACTCTGGAGGTAATAATTTGGCTGCAAAAAAATTCGGTACTTGCAGTGTAATCACTTCTTAACAAATTATTCAGATTTCTCAGCAACAAGTGGATGGATTGCTACCATTTTAGGTAAGTTTACTCTTTAGTGTTGTTTGAATCAGCATGTCGATTATTGAAAGGATTCCATATATTTTTACTTGATATATCTAACAATCATTTTCTACAAATTTCAGGTAGCATCAAAACCGACCACCCTTAATACTATTAATAAGCAGTAGACTCATCGGAGGGCTTGCCCGACGCCTCGAGACAAGCCCCTGTGACTATATCGTGGCCTTCGTCCAAAGATAAATCCCTGCATGTTTTATACTCTGCCAGGGCCGGTGAATTCGTACGATCCGCGATCCGATCCGGATAAATTTCGTCATGGTAATGATGCATTGTGGGATTAATCCAAGAATTAATCCAAAAATCGGTGAATTCGTACGATCCTGGGATTAATCTCAGGATAAATATCAATCCACCTCTTGAGGTGGATTACTTTTTGGATAAATTTTATCCGAATTCCAATGCAATTTGGATAAATCTTGGGGATTCCCCCTAATCCTCGGATCGTACGAATTCACCAAATATTTATCGGATTAGTAATCCAAGATTTATCCCAAAAGATAAAATTTATCCGGATTGGATTGGGGATCGTACGAATTCACGGCCCCTGATGTGTGTCATGTCGCTGTATATGGGTCATGTTGTAATCATAAAATTTGAAATCAAATGTTCGCCATTTTTCGCATCACAATTTGAATTACGAGTTTTGGTCTTTTTACCTCACCAAAAATTCCAAAACATACATGAAGTGATCAATGTATTAGTTCACATCTTCTGGATAGCCTTACCTTCTTCTAAGGCCACTGTCTCGTGGCCTTCCAGTAAATATATATTCCTGCATGAACAACTGGTCATGTCGTAATCATAAAATTTGAAATCATATGTCTGCCATTTTTCCACATCACAATTTGAATTGCAAGTTTTGGTCTTATTACCTCACCAAAAATTCCAAAACACATAAAGTGATCAGTGAATTAGTTCACATCTTCTGGATCGCTAACTTAGAATTTACAGCCAGTTACTAATGTCAGTTGTTAACGACATTTCGTCCAGTTTTCGAACATCGCCATTTTCTTTGGAGCCGTTTTGTTTTAATTTTAGACGAAATCCTGAAGAAATCATGTAATATCTCATCAAGGAGCCGAGCTGGGTCCGTTTTGATTAATGATTTATTTATCTGGTGATTTTTAAAATATTCAATAAATTTATGACACCACGGCCAGCTTTTTTCAAATGGAGTTCACAGTATTCCAGATGAAATCCTCTCTAGCCAAGTATTGGCTAAAGACTCGAGTAAGGATAGCCAACTTAGAATTGACAGCCAGTTACTAATGTCAGACGTTAACTACATTTCGTCCAGTTTTCGAATATCGCCTTTTTTCTTGGAGCCGTTTGTTTTTATTTTAGACAAAATCCTGACAAAATCATGCAAGATCTCATCAAGGAGCCCAGCCAGTTCAGCAGGAGATCCAAAGGGCAAATTGTGCTTCGGTTAGCGACATTTCTATCTCCGCCGTGGCGTGATATAATCCCGATTTCTCGGTACACGAGTTCGTAGAAAAATACGACACCTCAAATCAAGAGGCCATAACTCAACCCATAAATTATCAATTTTGATTCTGTTTGAATTTTTAGGATGCCAGATACGAGAGTTGCGATATATAAAGCCATCGTTATGTTTCATAAGGGATAAAATAGTGTATTTGGTGTAGGCCCGACTTGAATACTTTTGGAAGAATTTTCCAAAAAAAAAATTTTTCCGCTAAAAAGTTGGCAGAAATTTGTCTTCAGGGTTTTCAGCACTAACCTTCAGGTGTTCTCGATTATTTTGGATATTTCTGATCTTTTTGTCAGCTTAACTTTTTTAACCTACCTGTAGTTCATGGAGAAAATGATATCGAAAGTGCACTCTCATTTTTCACCCTAAATCGTATTTTTGGCGAGTCATGACCTCATGACGTAAATTCCGGTTTAGAAGTTTTGAGGTGGAAGTTTTCAAATTGCTGTCGAATATGCCCGAATATGACGACAGTAACAATAAATTGGACCCTGAGGTATTGCTGTCTGGTGTATAAAGTATATGGGAACAAACAGATAACATTGAAGTAAGTATATAACAGGTGCTATCGATAAAAGTGAAGGAACAAGTCGTAAAAGTTCACTAAAATTATTCCAAGAAGATATGGCTTCCAATTTTCTAAGTTGAATTTTGAATGACCAGTTTTGCCATTCCAATCTGAATTATTGTGCTTTTAGGGTATAACTAGATGGTCGATATTACCCTGGGATATTACCCTTATTCTTGATCAACTTAAGACTTTTATGAATCCCGATCTAGACCAAGGGCCAAGCAGAGACCTGAAAACTGTTTTTCATGTCTCTGGGCCAAGGCATTATTACGGTCTACAACTTGTGGACTGCGATAACTAAGGCTCACCAAGTTTTCTTTCTTTGACTTTTCATCAGGATGATTAAGCCTAGTTGAACTAAGATTGCTGTCATGTCTGCATTTCACAGTTCAAAATCAACTTGTGTAGTAATTTGACACCGACTTCTAATTTGCCTCATTGACTTATCGTTTCTCAAACATATTTCCAAAAATCAGGAAATAAGGGTGACGAGCGGGGAAATTTTATTGGGAATTTCATTGTGAAAAACTACCGAGTGACAGTTTAAACCACATATCCAGAGCCAGATCCAGCTCCTATTGGTAGTAGGCTCAAAGGATAAAAAATATTTATTGAGCATAGACACAGAGCAGGTAATCTGGCGGAGGTCTGTGATTTCCTTCAAGTGTAGGGTGACATGACATTTCTTTCTCTGTATTGTCTTTATTATTTTGATCAACTGAAATTGTTATTGTTTATTGGGCATATTTTTCTCATTTTGATGCAAGAAAAGCTCCTGGTAATACTGCTAATACTTATATCTGGCCAGCTTTAGAGAGAGCCAGTTTAATTTAGCTACACTTAATCTTTCAAGCGAAAGCATCAGAGTATGCTTTCACATAATTTCAACGGTTGGTGTGAAACTTTTTCATGTAGTGACATTTATAAAAGCAAGTTGATCTGTGGAATTCATTTTCATATTTTGATCTAGCATCATTGATGAAATATCTCCAGATCTTCTTAAGCCTTTACTAGCAGCTTTCTCATAATTTTAACAGTTGGTGTGAAACTTTTTCGTGTTATGAACTGAGTTGAACTCTGGCCAAAAAGCCTTGCTTTTGATGATCTGTGGAATTCATTTTCAAATTTTCATATTTTGATCAAGCATCACTGTAGAAAAATCTCTTAAGCCTTTACTATCAAAAGGTCCAAAATTAACAGACATAAGCAAAAATATTAGAAATGTTTTTCAAATATTCAAATATCCAACCATTTTTCAATAAAAGGTGAATTTTTTTAATTATCAAATAGTCCACTTCACCGTTTACAGTGCAAAACACTTTATCTTTGCACCATTGCATTTAATGTATTGTCTTATTAATGTTAGGTATAGGCAATATTTATAGCCTTTTCAGTCAATTTCACTTTTGAGAAGGGTATTTTTTATATTCTATGGGGAAAATGAAGTGAAAATGTCATTAGCCAGAGAGCACAACTGCATTGGCCAAATAGGATGGTAAGTTAGCATTTGAATGAATCTAAATTTCAATATTAGATGCTTTTTTACAGATGCAAAAGGACTATTTCCA